CTCATCCGCGCAGAATCTCCCCTTGTACGTAAAAAACTCCACATTCTTCATGGTCTTGGCGTTTCGCCCCACTCCTTATCAATCAGTTCCTCCCTGCCACCATCACCATCCAGGCTTTCATGAGCAGAATTCTCCGCGCTAGTCGAGCTCTGGTGGGGTTAAGACGTGGCAAAGCTGCGATTTCGGTTTCTAGTATGGTTTGAGATGCTCTAGAGGTTAGATTGATAAGATTTGATCTCTTGAGCCGAGGTTCTTGAGGCTCTTTGGGCGGATATCCGGATGATGTCTTGTGGTGGTGACGTTGAGGAGAGACTGGTCCTTGGCTTTGACGTTGAGCCGCATTCGGCTATGATGCGCCATTATTTTCTAGTCTCGCAAATGCCGAGAGACGTTTGGACTCTTGTTTGGGGGCGGAGGGAGGGGAACCATTTGATCTGCTGAACCTGCATATTCTGATCATTCTTACTGCGCAGCGACTTTCGCCGTACTTATTTCTGTGAGCTCGTACGGGCTATCATTATGCCGAAAAAGAAGCTACATAGTACTCTCTGGCCTATCAAGCTTCTTCCATGAGAAAACCACTCTTTGATTCGTGAGCGCAAAAGCCCGGAGGGTGAATGGCTCAACGATGTGCTCATAACTTGCCACCAAACTCATCTGTAGCCTAGCGAGTGCTGCTCGTCGATCATCGTCTAACATGAAGTCACTGAACAAACATGAAACATTTCAAGGTTGCAATATCTCAACAACCATCCAACATTCACTCATTGAGGCCGGCAACTCACGGCCCAGTGCATCGGATGCTACCCGGATCTGCGCAAACCACGACACAATGATGTACAGACATCGGCGTTTTTGCTTCGCGGAGAATTGTCAAACTTGTGTCGTGGTTCATGATGCAAGAATCGTCTTTGAAAGACGAGACCCTTGTTGTGGTTAAACCCTGACCCGGCCGTTGAAGGTCCACCCTCCGGAAGGTTGTTTGCGGGGCCGTAGACCCTGAAGGCCGGAGGATGGATTGTCACATCATTTAATTGATGTATTGTTTTTGCTAATTTCTTTTGGGGAAACATTTATTTGCCGCCTGAACAGTGAAAATAGCAAATAGAGCCAGCTGTCTATTGTATGTGTTGAAAGCAGAGGTGAAGGCTTACCGTGACCAAGACTTTCATGCATTAAAGCTAACTCATCCCGTTGCAATGTTCCGAACCTAAAAAGACCTCTAAAATACGGAGTAGTTTAAGCATGTTTTAAAAGTGCAACTGCTGAGTGATAGCAGCCTTTTCTGGACATGAAAAGTCCCGTGGCGCCCCAAAGGCCGAAAAGAATTCTACGCATTTAACGAGGGTACCAAAATCAACTACTCTAAAGACCCACTAAGTTCTACTAAACTTACCTAAATCTTTTTGTCGCTCAGGATACAGAGGTCATTTTCCTACTCCCTGAGGGGCAGCTCAACGGCCCAGTCTACGGAGGCCGAGACCCAAGGGTGCATTGGCCATTGAGTTTTCATGATATGATCTTTGCGTAACTGTTGAGACATCCACAGAACCGACAATCAATGTCACAGTCCATCAATCGATGTATGGGACATCTCAAAACACCATAGATAATAGCTCACCGCATGTATAGTTTGTTAATGACACAATACATCAGTTATTGAAGCGCCGGCGCCTTCCGGAGGTAAATTCTTCATCCTCCGTCACAATCAGCGGCCCGCTTCCGATGGCTGCCCGGTCCACCCGGTATCACAACCAGACATCGTACGATGCTCCCATATTTCATAACAGCAGCATTTCATTCGTCCATGACCTGAGACTGAAAAAAAAAGTCTCAAACAATATCTCGAAAGAGAGGCGTCAATGTACGTGATAAGTCATTATATATGTGTCTCTTGTAATGGATGGACCGGGCCGTGGGAGGGTTCGTGCTGAATGAGGCCCAGCCCAGTCATAAAAGTTTCGCCATTCTCTCGTGATCTCCCTTCTTCCCCAGATAAACCCGATCGATCTTGTTTTTCTTTCCTCTAAAGAAGCTAGTCAAAGCTAGACTCGTCGAAAGATAAAAAAGCAAAAGGATTCTTACCAATTGCATGCGTGCCGTTCTCCGCAAGGATCCTTCCTCGCTTGCAGCGATCACGACAATCCCTGGCCTAGTACAAGCCAAATCGAACGACATTCTGCAACTGCGGAATTGGAAGGATGGATGACAAACACGACATTTCGCCCGATGAGAACAACGGGGTTATTAGCCTTAGCAATAGCCCGGAGAGTACTAATGACGCCGATGCGAAGGGCCCTCATGTATGGCTTGTTGGCGGCGGTATTGCATCTCTTGCCGCCGCGGTCTTTCTGATCGAAGATGCAAAGGTCCCAGGGGATCATATCCATATTCTCGAGGCATCGGCGAAAGCTGGTGGATCAATGGCTACGTTTTCGAAGCCATCTTGGGACACGGGGTATCGAGTATCTGCGATTCGCAAGATGAGTCTCACTTATCATTGTTTGTATGGGATGTTGGAGAAGGTACCATCGGACATTGACGGCGAGACACTCGCAGCCAAATTGCACCGATTCAACCAAGCAAGGAGGAAGCTCGGCGCATCGGGAACGAGATTGGTGAGGCAGGTCATTGACGACCATGGAACTGAGAAGCCTGAAGCTGTTGATGTGAGCACAATGGCCTTGAGTGTCAAGAACCAGTGCGACTTGATGAGAGTAGTTCTCGAGACGGAAGAGGAGCTGGAAGGCCTTGAGATTCAGGCTTTGTTTGAACCCGACTTCTTCGAGACGAACTTTTGGGATTTATGGTCGTCGCTCAATCGGTTTCACCCATGGTGTAGTGCTGTTGAGTTCAGGCGGTGTCTGCATAGGATGTTGCATGAGTTTCCCAACATGGGAACATTGTCTGGCGTAGAGCAGGCGCCTGAGGAGGACTTTGAGGCGATCATCAAGCCTTTGGCGCAGTATCTGAAGGCGATGGATGTTGAGTTTCGGCACGGTAAGTTCGGGTATTCGTTCGAAGGGACAAAGCTGACCTGTGTAGGCATTCAAGTTAGCGGTCTGGAGATTGAGGATGTAGGTTCCGACTTTCGGGTGTCCGCCCTGAAGACATACCAAGACAACAAGCATGTCTTGATATCAACTGGGCCTGATGACCTTGTACTTCTCACCCTTGGCTCCCTCACATCTGGAATGGGATACGGCACAAATGACCAGCCGCCACCGATGATGGAGCTTCGCGACTCAGCACCTCACGCACTCGACCCCTCGTGGACCTTCTGGGATAGACTTGCGATGGATCGCCCCAACACATTCGGCAACCCTGAAGCATTCTTCGACCGACCTTCAAAGTCAACATGGCTCTCCTTCACCGTCACCCTTCGCGACCCAGCATTCTTCGAGCACTTACGTACCTGGACCGGCACACTAACGGGAGCTGTACCATTAATAACTTTCCGTGACTGCCCCTGGATGCTCTCCCTCACAATCCCTCAACAACCGTACGTCAGAGATCAACCCTCCGACGTTTTTGTATTCTGGGGCTACGGTCTCTTCCCCGACCAACAAGGCCGCTACGTCAGAAAGCCCATGCTCGAATGCACAGGCGCCGAAATCCTCACCGAGCTTCTTCACCTCATGGCCTTTCCCTTGCAACCCACCCTCGAGCGCTCCATCACGATCCCCTGCCTGATGCCGTTAATCGGAAGTCCATTCTTGACACGCAAGAAGGGCGATCGACCAGACGTGATACCCGAGGGAAGCAAGAATTTGGGCTTGATGGGGCAGTTTGTTGAGATCGAGAGGGAGCTAACGTTCACGATGGAGTACTCGGTTAGGTCGGCGCAGTTGGCTGTTTATGGGCTCATGGGACTGGATAAGAAACCACCGGGCGTTATGGGAGAGGATCATTCTGTATTGACGTTGGGGATGGCGTTGAAGACGATGATGACTTGAGGGGAGTGTAACTGGTACGGACTAGGCGTTAGGAAAAGCAACAAAATGGTGGGAGGGCTGAGACATGCTTAGCTTGATCATATGTATAGTAGAAAGGGGCTCAAAGGTCTTTTGGCAGGGAAATGGATGCATTGACTTCTTCAAGTGACCGCAAGAAGGTGGATGTTTGCTGCAAGTACGGCTCCGATCATCGCAGCCAAGAACAGTAAACACCGGGCCTCTATCCTAAGCGATGAGAAGCTGTGGGTAATTTGGCACAATGTTAGGGTAATCTTTACTAAATTTGGTCCTCTCTCAAGCTCTGGAGGTCTTGATTGAGGTTTGTAGGCAATCTTTACAGGCCTAAGGTATTTGCAACAATAGGTTGGCAAGGTCGCTGCTATAGTTACGCAATGTGAATGAGAAGGGATGGGCATCAAAGCTACTTTTACATCCAAAGCTTCCAGATAACAGAGCTATTGCTTTGTGTTATATGTCCTAGTGAGGGGGGAATCTGGTGTATCGGACATCTAGCAACATGGCCAGGCCTCGATCCTCCAACATATCCCCTTTTGCACACTCAACAAATATATCATCACTTCCCAAGCATCTACATCCTTACATGAATCTCTATATATACCAAAACGCCCCTATTATCATGTATTAGAGTGGCTTCGAACCCAGTGCCCCTTCGACACTGCCACGACAGGGCGAGTTCCCTCCAGGGGTTCCTTCAGGGGGCACGCCTAGGCTCCTACTTCAAGTTGACGTCAGGCCTGAGGCTGCCTTGCCCTAGTCCATCCGCACCTTCAGCGATTCTTGCTATTTCCCCGACAACGGACCTGAGCTAGGTAGTATTCCTCTTCCCCTCTTCATCTCTCTTCTCCTCCCCCGCCTTCTGCCACCTTCCGCCATCTCCCATTCATCAACATTCACATCCTCCTCTACTCACAAACTGAACTAAACACTTCACCAAACTTTCATCCCATTGACTTCTCATCTTCCTTTCAGTTATCCACTGTCACTCAATCCCATCACTCCACTTGCCCCGTCGTCTTTGCCGCCATGTCTTTCGTGCAAGACGCAGAAATGCAGCATTATGCGCGGCTGCAGCTGGACAACATCGATGTGTTGCTCTCACAGAACCCAGGGGAAGGTGAATTGTCCGATCTTGAGAAGGAAGCGATAGCAATCCGTCCCTACTTGCAACTCGTTGCCGTAGGGGCCGTAGAGTTCAATGAAGAAGCTGTTAATGCTCGAGTAAACAAAGGCTTCTCTACCCCCGAGTATGATCTCCCAGGGCTTCGCGCTACATCTCCTTCGGCCGCGGCACCCACTCGTCAGGTCGATGGACTCGTTACCGCTGCTACTGGCCCCATGGGTAAGCAATATCAACGCACCCAGACCATCACATCACTGACTGATTTTCTTAGACGGGCTTCGCACAGAGGGACTGTTGGACAATGTCGAAGAGGATGTCTAGGAGGCACATTTGACTGACTCCACTACTGCCACTGTTGCCTCTTTTTCCGACTCTGCCAGCGAGATTGTGATCACGCCTTCTCATGACAATCCTCCTGTTATTTCTGTGGAGGCCGCATATCAGAATGAAATCGCCCGTCTTGATGCCGCTCTTCGAGGTAAAGCACCACCTGCTGTGTACTCTAACTTCCTCACTAATATCATACCAGATCAACAAGCTTGCATCAACGACGACATCTATTCCGACGACAACGCTGGTGCTCCCCCTGTGGCTCTCTCGAAGTTGGAGACTGTTCACTCAAACAGTAGCAAGGCCTCAAAGGTCACGGAAACTGCTCTTGCTTTCCTCTCCCAAAGTGATGTGGGTCACATAATTGAAGCCCGGACCCAGAGTTCCAGTCAGTCAATCTCTTCCCGAGAGGCAGAACAGGGCTCCCCTTCAAAGGACTCCACTACTCGCGATGTCGAAAGTGTTGGCATTGAGGCTGCATCCCCAGCACCAGCGACTCACCTCCACCACAATGAGGCGCGCGAGGGCCTCATTTCTTTTGATGAGGATCCCACTCCTGCCGGTACTATCCCGACTACTATAACAGATGTTTCGCTTCCTACAAGCACTTTCGCCAAGGAGTGGGAAGAGGCCGAGAGTGACAATGTCGCGCTCGATGTCTCCCCGGCCACAGCCCACCCTGTCGAGTCTGAGACCGAGCTTCCGGTGCAAACCTCTAATGCTGTCTCCCTCTCCACTAAGGGAACTACTTCAGCTCCAGGTAATGAGTGCACTATCTCTGCCGAGCCACAGTGCGATGCGGTATCCATCACCGGTGACGACGCAATTACACCTACAACCAGTGTTCACGAGAATAACAATGTTATCAAGTGCTTCAAATGTGGCAACGACTGTGATGAGAATGTCATCACATGCTCTTGCAGCCATCAGTATTGTGCTGGTTGTCTTAACGACATAGTCAAGGCTTCTATCCAAGGGCCTACTTCCTTCCCTCCTGTGTGTTGCGAGATTCCACTCCCTGTTGACATCAACACTTCTATCTTCGATGAGAAGACTTTGTACGATTTCTTGTGGAAGAAATTTGGGGCGTCTGACATCGGTGAAAAGGATATCGGTGAATGCAGTGATAAGTCACTTCCCTCTCTCCATCCTCGCCCGTCGACTCCTTTTACCCCATCTACCCCATCAGTTCCCTCTCCTCCCTCGCTTTCGACAGAGGAGAAGTCGGAGTACTCCTTCAATGGATTTGGTGAAGAAGCAGCCGACAATGAAGGTACCAAGTGTCACGTGTGCCACAACACTATTGAGAAAGGCTTGTGTAAGTAATAATCTGTTGCAGCCAGTATCAAACTAATAGACCCTGTTCATAGATTGTCCTAACTGTTGCTACCAATGCAACAATAGCAGAGCGGACTGCAAATGCGACTGGTGGGATGGCCGCCAGCGCCGTGAAAAGGGTATGGCTATCGCCAAAGCGTCAACCTTCCAAACTGCTCAACCACAAGTTGCGCCCTTTCGGGGGCAGCGAAAGCAGTTTGGGGGAATATTTGAACGCAACACTAGAACCCATCGTGCCGAGATCCAGAATGGGGCTTGCCAACACCCATTGATGAAGCAAGTCAAGTTGTCGGGTCGATGCTTTGACTGCTATCACATGCTGCCTACGTTCCTATGGCAGTGCACACGCTGCAAATACTCAGTTTGTAAGCATTGTGGTATGAAGCGGGGAATTTTTTCCCGCTGATGTTTCTTGTTGTTGTCGCTCCGTTGATAATGGAAATGTTACGGGGATGTATCGATGAGATGGTGGAAATGGTAGGATGTAAGATGTCACGACGGTGATGGGTGGCGGTGATGAGCATATGCTGGTTTTGAGAAGCATTTATGGTGGTGGGAGAAGGTCGTGACGATGGGGGTGCTCCTGTGTGCTCCAGTTTGCTTTTTCCTTGTCAAAAGTAGGTATAGACTGTAAGATAGTAAGAATGTCGATGAGTTTTGTATTTAAGTTGTTTCCTATTTGACTGGGGAGCTTGGGGAGCTTCGAGGCGGTGCCTGGTCAAGACCAGAGCGATCCGTAGCAAAGCAAAGTATGGGCTGAATTGTCCACTGCCAATCCATATAACGCACACTGCTTTGTGTCTGCGACAAACTGTCTGCCTGCCGAGATAATTGTGCTCAAGATCAAAGTGAATTTATTTTTCTAGACAGTTACTAAAAAGGACTGTTTGCCAATCTATGTTTGTGTAGTGATCTGTTGCCTTGCAGAGCGACCTTGTCACTTCCCCTTGCCACATTGCCGCCAGGATGCCTAGAGGGTGTCAGATCAGACGTCTTCTGGCCTTTGGTTAGTTTCATGGTGCAAAGTTTACCTTGCCTTCAATTTTAATAACATCCCCAGTAATATATGTTTTCGCCATGGTATTTGGAGCTGAATAGCATTCTCACGCTTCGGTTACAGCTTGTTGGGGGCGTACACTTTGCTAACATTCGGAAATTACGCTGCGATTCATCTAGAAGTCCTGTTGTGTGTTATTTTGGAAGATAATGTCAAGGTAAGGCGTTGGACGCGAGCATCAGCTGAGTTGTCTATCTACTCAAACTAACACTCTAGAGCAATTTGAGAATGGTAGGCGATGTTCATGTATAGATTAGTCTTGTAAGCGTTCAGTCTACCGTCTACCTTCTGGACTATTCTTTTATAAGTCATCATTTGGCGTCAAGTGCTATTACTAGGTCTATACGAATCCCATGGCACACTGTAAGAGGAAGAAATAATATTTACACTATACCTAGCCATCTACTAGGTAACCTAAGGTAGTGGAATGTCTAAGTCCTGCGCTAAATGTGCTATTTGTAGCTAGGTATGTCACTAAAAGCTCAAGGTGAAGCCAGTGGCGCAGAGCAAGCATCAGCTATCAGCTCCATTAACCCAAAATAACAGTCTCAGAGACACAATTCAGGACTATACCACCTACACGTATAGTAGCCTAAGTAATGCTTCAAGGAGATTACAGTTACTACAAAACATAAGGGATGAATGTAATTCTGTTGCATCTTCATCCCATGAAGACATCCCCTCCTCAGAACGGGAAGCCGACCTCTCACTCAGCCTCCGAGCGGCCCGGGTACATGCCTTCCGATTGATGTCACAATACATTTCTGTATAGTCGATATTTTCCTATTGTTGTATTCGTACATTACTATTACAAGGCACCAACGTGTGCTCTCTATGTGTACTCTGGGCAGCTCCTTCCTTCCCTCAACTCCAGCCTTTCTCTCACCTATAACATCTCCAAGCTGCAGCCGCATATACTGTAACATGCAAGTCTCCTCCGATCCTATACCGGACCAATTCCGCCTCTTCTCGCAAACCTCGCGCCCCTTCATCGTTAACACGTTCGGCCGATGCTGCACCATTCGCAATGTGTCTAGTGCTGGCATAACTCCCACAGACTGCGTTGGCAACCTGGGTAAGGGCGGTGCCCTGGGGGATCTTGTTCAGGAGGACACGACGGGAGCAGTGTCACTGTCAGGGTCGAAAACTGACTTGACATTGATCATGTACGTTTCATCATCAGAACGAACCCAGGCGGTCTCACTTTGGGTTTTCGGGGCATTCCCTTGGACACCGCTGATCGGCTGACAGTCACCTATCCTGCGCGATAATAATGCGCGATCCAGTCATCGATCTGCGCAACAGCGCGGTCTCGACAGCCAGGACAGACACGAAGGGTGCAGGTTGCACACTCGAAAGTGTAGGGGTGTACTCCCTCACGACACACTCTACAGCGGCCGGCGTTCTCCAACCTCTGCCAGTCGTGGTCACACAGCATAGGTGGGAGCCGAGGACGGTTAGCATCAGGGGCCGCTAGAACTGGCTGCAGCGGCGCGTCAAGTTGGTGTTGTTGGAGAGCAGGATCGATATCCTAATGACAATCGCAGCTGTCTAACCCCTCACCGCACTCGTAGCAGAACTCATAACCGCAAACACATACTGCGACGCATAAGTCAGTAACTTCGAAAGGTTGACAAGTTGGTTCGGAGACATACTCATATGGGAGCAACCATCAGCCAGCTCGATGAGGTGACCGCATCGTAAACATCGCTTCCAGCCTTTGGTCTCTGCGAGAACCAAGGCCTGGGCAGGCCCAACCTGCTGCTCACAATCACCGGTATGTCCCTTGTTCTTGCACCTGGTGCAAGTGATCTCGTTGCAAACAGGGCACCCTGCTTCCTCTCCGTAGCAGGGTGTACCATCGTCGGAGGTGTTGTTGGGAGGTATGAACTTGAGGCACTGACTATTACTGCAATAGGTTCGATTCATTGTCGTGTGTTCAGTCCATTTCTCGCGATATTGCTGTATGTCATTCGCAAGTAGACTTCCCTCGATGTCTTCGGGAGGTACCTCCATATTGCAGCATTGGAGGGGGAAGTGCCATGTACACGAGAGAGATAGTTCGACAGCGGTGATGAGACATGAGAGGCAATAGTCATGCCCGCATGGCAGTCGATTGGCCATCGTGGTTGGGGATATACAGCAGATGCACACCTTATCTTCTGTTTGGACAGGCTCTTGTGTCGTTGGGCCTTGAGGGACGGCGGGGTGAAGGCCCTGCTGTTCTATCTCTTCGCCTTGTTCGCTATCCGATGGACCCTCAGAAATCTCTTCAACTTCGTCATCAATGGACATCTCGTCGTCTTGGTCATCTGATTCCTCCGAGTCCTCTTCAGGTTGAGAGTCTGACTTTCCGTCAGAAAGATCTTCAAGCACATCACTCATATACTCGTTACCTTCATCGCCTGTGTCCATCTCATGCTCAGGTTCGCTACGTCGTTTGAACTGTCATCTTGAGTATTTGGTTCTTCATCGAAGTGCTGCGCAGGTGTCTGCTCGTATTGTTGGTCTTGCTGGTTACTGTCTTCATATGAACGCCTCACTACGATGGCAGATACAGCTTCCTCAAATGAGGCATTCTCGTTGTACTCCTGTCGCGCGTCCATGGCGGTAGTTGACGGGAAGTCACAAGCAAAAATGGTAGACGATAAGGGAAAAAAACCGAACATCGCAGAAGAGACCTTTTCAAAGTTTTAAGGGTAGAGGAAAAAGACTAATAGGTATTTCCTGGTGGCCTATGCAGCTTTCAGCCAGCCGGCTTGCAGTGCTGGGCGTAAATCGTCGTTCATACTTCTTGTGCCGAAGCTTATTACAAGGGCACCACTCAAGCATAATTCGAGAAATATGCTCAAATTTCATACTTTGAAAGGTACTATCAGCGAAAAACTTTCTCAGTCAAGGATATATGATGCCTTTTGTCCAAGGCCATCGTCAGACACATCTCCGGATCTCTTCAAGCGTCTTTTGTGAGCTCTCGAGGCTTCACTCAGCACCAACACTGAGGCCTCGATGGATGAGGAGACGGCCCCATCAGTACAAAAGCATAGGCACCTACATTCATCCGGTTCAAGGCTGTTCTTGTTTATTCTCGTCTTTCGTTTGTCTCATTTGGCAGCGTGGGATACTTGACTACGATGGGCAGAAGCCCTACCGGACAGCATCAAATCAAGAACGTCAAATTAAGGACGTCAGGCCCAAGGGGTAACAAGGATTACGAAGGCTTAGAACAACTTGGGATCACTCCAACTAACGTCCTATGAGCTGGCTTTGGCCCCAGCCCAAAGACCTCGGTTTCTCTCAACACCTCGACGACATGACAACGACTAACACCCCCGTCCTTCAATCACTCAATAAGGAGTCCTCGACCTCGGCGCAAGAACACCAACACAGGACCAAAAATCGAAGGGTTTGGCTCTAGGATCTGGGTTGAACGTAGAAGCGAAAGCAATGGGATTTCTGCTGACGAATTCGAGAAATCCGCACGAAGTCGCAATGATACACCTCGCATTATCGATCGTCACCCACACCACGTTCGGCTTGACATCAACCTCTACCAGATCCTCCTTTCCATAGCGATAGAACACTTTTCGATCCCTTTCCCTCTCCTCCTCTTTTTCTGCTTCTTGCTTCGTCTTGCACGTGCGGCACTGGTCGAATTTTTCATCGATAAGCCAAAGTCGCATTCCCCCCAATCTCCGCACTACGATGAGGTGCAGCAGGAGCAGGAAAAGGCCCCTTGGATTATCTTCGTTCTTTGCCTCTATCAGACTGATCCGCGGGTTGTCGAGTCGCGTGATGCCATTGGACCAGGAATCGTTGAATACGAAGCCGATGTTTCCCATGATAGGGAAGCCGTCGTTTGTCGGGGAGAAGGCATTTTCTCGAAAGAGCAGAACCGCGTTGTATTCTTGTTCTCTGTCTGTAAACTGGCAAACGACCTCATCCATCCATCGGTCATCCTCCACGATGAAGAGATCTTTCGCCGGGTGGACCGCAACAATGTTGGTATACATGCCGCCTATCCTGACTACCGATGCAAAGTCCTTGTACCATTTAGTGTTAATTTCCAGGTAATCGCTCTCTATCAGCTTGCTATGTTTCTGCCACACTGCCTCCATATTGAACGGTTCGAGAATTGTGTCCGGTATTGGGTGCCAGTCTCTCAGAATGGCCAGCTTCGTTTGTTCCCAGAATTTCTTTCGAAATCGTCGGCTAATGACCCATCTAGATTCAACACAGGCATTCCAGAGGCCGTAGTCCCAATGCACAACCGACTTCAGCCCTTCAGGACAATTCGCCATGAGCTCGCGCGTCTTCAGATTGCCCCGCTCCTTTATCACTCGTGATCCAAAGAGTGGCGGACTCTTGTGGTCAACGTCACTCGTCTCGAGTAACGACGGAACATCGTCCTCCCAAACATGCACTCGAAAGTGATGCGTTGCATTGTAGTTTTTCGACGGCAGCGGTCGCAGTGCTGCCTCCCAGATCAAGAGTCTGGCGTCTTGGTGGAGGTAGGGAAAAAAGAGGAACTTGTCATCTAAGGCTTTCTTCTGGGTCGGCAGTGGTTTAGCCCCTAAACCCGGTGGGCGTATGTTGTGCATTGGCAAGGTCGGCGGGGGGAGTGAGGACGGAAAAACGTTCGTTCGGCCATCGTGAGGGGAATAATATGTATATATTGTGATGGTGATGTGTTGTTTACTTAGGGCTTTGGGTGTACCGAACTCAAAATTGGCTTTTCTTTATCGTGATGTTGATGAGGATTGGTTGTTCGTGGGAAGTTTGATAGAGGGGAGGTACTGAGAGGCTGTTATTGAGGGGTTTGGCGGAAGCCGCAATATACCTAGATTTAAGATGACCCAGGGAACCAATCATGAACAGTGTGAATTAAAACACCATGAATGTCTTTTAATCTACCCCCTCAAGTCGTTTTCTCCTAGAGATTTAGAATTCCCAGGTGGAGTGAACAGGAAACTGTAAGCTCTCGCCTCCAAGCAACAGATCGCTCTGCGCCATTGACCTCAGGGGACGATCCTAACAGCATACCTGGCTAATCAGCAGCTTCTACCAGTTCTTCTAGAAACTCATAGAAGAAGAATCTACTCGTCAGAGGTTGTCGTCTCTAGTTTTTCAAACTTCTCCTCTCTTTGATATACTCTCCGGGACTCTGGACTCGGCTGGCAGGATGACGTGAGGAGGAGAAAGGAGGACGCAATGCATGTTCGGAAATTCAAGCAAACCGTTTCGAGATACAGGAGCTCAGGGGAAGTGACAAAGTGGAGTTAGACATCCAGGCAGGGAGGCTCTGTTATTCCGAGTTTGTATGGCAAACAACAGTGATGCAAACAAAACAGACTCTGGACTATGGAATTATCTTACTCAATATTGCAACTATCTCTTTTAAAAGAGCAATAACAATATCTCTTGATTGAGTATTGACCCACGCGAAGGAAGCCCATGATCTGATTGATATCCATTGATTTCCCCTGGTCAGCAACAGAAGAACTTCGTCCCCAACGGTTTTCAAGCCCAACAAGGCTGCAGCAAACACAGATCAAGCACGATAAACTTCCCCTGATCTGCTGATCAACTGCAAGAAATAACAAGGGGTAACTTCTGTGCCTTGGCCATAGCTTTTCAAGTTTGCGTCGTAGTCAGAACATTCTCGTCAGTCTCTGTCCCGGAACCCCTATTCCGGAAACCTTGATTCAGCCTCTGCTCTCACCTGTACCTGATCAGGCAGTTGCTGATACTGCATGTGAAAAGGAGGTAGCGTTACTGAGGACTTGTTTTGGCCGGTAGTGGCCTCCAAGACTCGGTTGACCCGTATTGCCGAGCCTGGTGAGTAGTCAGTAATGCGATTTGGGCACGCAATTGGTTGGTTGATCTCGCAGTTGAGGCTGCAAGATGCCTCGCTTAGGTTCTGCAAGTTTCAAGGAATGATCCTTGTGTCACAGTTGTTAGTTGTGGACATGCATCAAAAACTCTGTCTTTGAAAACAGGATGGTTCAGTTGACACGGCATTTTCTAACCCCAAGCTCCCCGACATAACCGTTGTGCCCTTAGCATTAGATCTAAACAGGACTAGGAAGGTCTTTTCTGCATGGTTCACCGGTAATAACATATCAGAGTGACAGATCAACTATACCTATCAGGTATTTTCCTCCGATGTCATTCGTGGCATACGTAGTCAAAACCGTCGTCAGTTCGGAAGACCCGACGTTGAGGTTAAACTTTATGTCTCAACCAACAGGGATCAAGACGTGAGAGTGTCCGCGGAAATACAGGCCGAATAAGCGGAACCCCCTAAACGGGGATATCCGAGTGAAAATCTCTGAGTCGATCACCACGATTCGTTGTAACCGAGGAGCCACCACCACCACCACCACCACGATCCTTGGTTATAGCAGAATGCATACCTGTATAACGTCACTGTCTATGCCTATTCCATGACCCATAAAGTCATCTGAATATCCGAGCTGAAAACAAGGGTTTGTGATATTTGGATCTGCAATACGTGGGGATTTCGTAAACCTGTGGTCTAGACCCAGACCCCCTGTCCTTGGCTGGGCTCTCGATAACGCATTGATTGGCTCTCGTTGCAAGATGGATGCACCAAGACCCTTACAGCGAAATCTCAAAATCCCCCCTTCCTCTGTATCGTGAATTTCTTCAGTTGAGACAATTACAGAGACAAAGGAAAAGCCACCATCGGCTAATTCGCCAAGAACCCGATGCGATAAATGATTGATAGCCGATGTAGGAGGACAGGATAGGAAATTCGAGTATCCATACCTCCACTGGAAGCCCCAGGCCGTTGACAGGTACAGGTACCTAGGCAGTCCCCTAAAAAGATTGCCCGGGCTTACTGTGCCGCAATGATCGCTACAAGACCTCCCTGTCCTGTTCTGTCCCGTCCCGTCGCCGCCTCCTCTTTCCAATGCCGTCTTTCCAGAGGTAGCCCACCCACTTTTTGTTCAATTCATCGCCGAAGGACAACGGGCACAGACACAGACACAAGAGAAACATCCCACTTTCAACGTCACCTCGACGACTTCATCTCGATCATCTATCTCCGCCTCTTGGTAGATCTTCCTCCAGAAACGATATATTCATCCGTCCATCCATGTCTGTGGTCTCGACACTCACAAGCTTCGTTGCGAGGTAACGAACGATGCGGCGACGCACTCTCATCGTTATCTCGAAGCTAATCTGAGCCTGACTCTCCTCCATTCTCTCTCTCCATTCGTCCAACATGGCCCCCAATTGGCATTCTCTCATCGCGAGAGCAGCGTTTGAGTTACCAGTCGTAAGTTAAACTTTCTCGTCAACTCTAACTTTATTTTCCCCTTCAACGTGGCTGATCATCATCTGTCTACTTTTAGGAGGGCGATGACTCTCGGGTTGGTTCTACGCGAGAGGGTTCCAGTGGCGGTACTCTCAGCTCCGACAATGGTTCAAAATCGGCATCGCTTCAATCTCTTGGTGGAACATTTATTCCTGTCGTCATTTACTGCGTGGTTTGCATCTTGTTCTTTTCGTTTTTTCGCGTGAAATGCCATCGTGTCTACTCGCCTCGGTCGATACCCAGCTTGCGTTCCCCTCAGTAAGCAGCAAATCTTTCAGCTCGCTCCCTCTCGATCATTGCTGACAGCCTTTGTAGCACGCCCATACCGCCACTTCCCAATGGCTGGTTCAACTGGATCAAGCCATTCTTCAAAACACCAGATACTTTTGTGCTTAATCATGGCTCTCTCGACGGCTTCTTCTTTTTGCGGTACCTCAAGGTCTTGCGAAACACGTTCCTTGTCGGCATGTTGATTGCTTGGCCAATTCTCTTTCCTGTCCACATTACGGGAGGCAAGAAGCTCACCCAATTGGACATGTTGACAATTGGTATGATTGAGAACAAAAAGCGCATGTTTGCCCATGTTGTTGTTGCCTACTTGTTCTTTGGTAAGTACCCAGACGACGTGGCCCAATGGCACCGCTAATCGATCAGGCTTTATTCTCTTCACCGTCATTCGAGAGTGCTTCTACTATGTCGGTATTCGTCAAGCTTATCTCTCGTCTCCTCACTATGCCAAGCGGCTATCATCCAGGACAGTACTCCTCACTTCTATCCCTGAGCGATACCTCGACGAAGCTCGGTTGCGGAAACTCTATGGCGACTCTGTAAAGCGAGTCTGGATCCCACGCACCGCCAAGGCTCTCGTCAAACTGGTGGAGGAACGAGAACAAACCGCAATGCGCCTGGAACAGGCAGAGATTGCACTCATCAAAAAGGCAAACATGGCTCGAAAAAAGCAAATCGGCAAGAATCCACCATCAACTACATCCTCTACCGAACCATACGCTGGACCATCTTCTGGAGATTCGAGTTCTTCGTGGAGGACTGAAACCAGCAGCGAGGAGCCCCGAATGAGCTCCCCGCGACGTGTCGAGACATCAGACACTCATGTACAAGAGAGCGAGCAGGGAGGAATTCGGGAGCGTAAGCTTACGCCTGAGGTAGCCGAAAGAACTCGAACCAGCAACGCCCATGATATTCTCGAAAAGTCCGCAGAAGACCCCGAATACGTCCATCCCTACGGCCTTAACCCAGATCTCCCCGATGTACGAGGATCCGTCGCCGCTCAATGGCTCTCCGTGACAGCCAGGCCCCACCACCGTCCACTGCACAATTTCTTTCGGCGAGTGGACACTATTCGATGGTGTCGCATGAAACTGAAGGAATTGAACCTCGAGATCTTCAAGCTCAGGCGCCAGGTTCGCCGTGGTGATGGACAGACACTCCCTGCTGCGTTCATCGAGTTCGACACACAGGAAGCTGCTCAAGCTGCTCACCAAGTCGTTGCTCATCATCGTCCTCTTCAGCTCGCTCCTCGTCTTTTGGGTGTTCGACCAAATGAGGTGGTCTGGAGTGCCCTCCGCATGCGCTGGTGGGAGCGCATCATTCGGCGTTTGCTTATCATGGGCCTCATCGCTGTCGCAATTATCTTTTGGTCCATTCCATCTGCCATGATCGGCATCGTGTCCAACATCAAGTTCTTGAGTAGCATCGTATTTCTCAAATGGATCAATCTATTGCCCAGTCCTATCCTTGGCTTCCTCCAAGGTTTCATCCCTGCCATCGCTCTGTCGTTCTGGATGTCGCTTGTCCCGGCAATGCTCCGATGTAAGTCTCACATTGCCGGTCCCTTGCTGCAACTACTAACTCTCCTAGTCTGTGGCGTCCAAGCAGGGATTCCCTCTTTGGTACTGGTCGAATTGTTCACCCAAAAGGTCTACTTTGCTTTCCAAGTGGTACAAGTCTTTTTGATCACGACATTGACATCGGCCGCTTCTGCCACGACAATGCAAATTATTCAGCAACCAATGTCGACACCCAGTCTCCTCGCCACAAACCTTCCCAAGGCGTCAAACTTCTACCTTTCGTACATTCTTGTCCAGTGTCTGGCCATTGGAGCTACCGGTCTCCTACACATCTTCGAGCTAATCAGACATCACGCATTTGGTAGAGTGGTACAGAATCCCAGGACTCGCTTCAATGTTTGGTACAACCTTCGCCCTCCTCGCTGGGGTGGCGTCTTTCCCATCTACACAAACATGGCGTGCATTGGTAAGTCGTACAGCCAATCATCCCCTTCCATGCTAACATTCCTAGCCTTCTCTTACACAGTTATCGCTCCGTTGATCCTCGTCTTCGCATGCGCCGGAATGGCCTTTACGCGCCTCATCTACCGATACAACATTCTTTACGTCTTCGACTCGGAAATGGATAGCATGGGCTTGTTTTATCCCACCGCCCTCATGCAGCTCATCACAGGACTTTACTTGGCCGAAATATGCATGATTGGTCTCTTTGCCATAAATCTCGCCTTCCCGCCCATGGTGTTGATGCTCATCTTCTTGATCTTTACTGTCATCGTGCACATGTCCTTGAGAGACTCGATATCGCCTCTGCTGCAGAATCTCCCGCAAACATTGGCATTGGAGGAAGAAATACAGGAGCAGGAGAGAGCTGAAGCGGAAGCAAAGCTTCAAGCGGCCGCGGAGTCGGGAGATGCTAATGGGGGAACTGCTGCTAGTTACTTCGATACGGAGCAGAACTTTGGAGAAGAGGAATTCGAGGACGCGCCGACAGATGACGAAGACGATCAACTACACGAGGGACCACAGAGCTCGAGGGCCGTCGAGGGCGCAGGTGGTCTGAGGTTGATGGCCACTGAATGGATAAAGTCAAGCACCAAGGAGCAATTGATGAAGGAGGTGCAAGAGTCGGGAGTTAAGAAGTTCTTGGACAAATGGATTCTCCCCGCCGAGAGGTCGAACCCGGATCAACCACCGTCTTTCATCCAGCGATTCTTCCACCCTGAGATCTACGAAGACTTCATCGCTTTGCGAAAACTAATTCCCTTCGAAGAACTCCCCGACGCAGACAACTCTGGGGACGAGAAGCTATCTAACTACTGGCCTCCTGAGCTTTGGATGCAAAAGCCCGTCTTGTGGATTCCTCGCGACGAAGGCCGCGTCAGTCGACAAGAAGTTGCGCACACGAGAAGGATCACGCCGATCACGGATGTTGGAGCATCACTGGACGAGAAGGGTTTGGTCGTCGTTGATGTTGAGGCTGCGCCGTTTCCTAGGATGAGACTGGTGCACTGAGCGAGTATGATATACGATAGATCTTGCCATGATACCCTCTTTTGCATATAAGCGTTGGATACTATTGCTTTAATACATTTACAATACTGAAGATTTCGTCCCCGGTGTGCTGGTGACTTCGCCGTAGTATGCTTTGTCGTTGGGTTCGCGACCGAGAAAGTTGCTGAGGCTTTTAAGTTCGGGTTGACTTCCTCCTGGTTGAAGAACAAGCTCGCGATATCGTAGACCAGTCGCCTTGTCCAGTGGATCAGCTTTGAAGTGGCTAACCCAAAGATCAGTCGCGTACACCTTTGATCTGCGACTCGTTAGCAACACTCCTTGACTCTCGTCGTGTGACCACTTACAGGGCATAAGTAAAGTATGCAGCATCATACGCTCTAAACGGATGTGCAAACGACGCCTGTCCAATACTATCCGCCCTTCCCAACCCCATGATCTCCGTCTTACTCTCATTCCACAACCTCGTCGTATCAACCGCCCTCCCCTCCTCCGCGTTATGAATCGTCAGATCAAACAGCGCCAAAAACACCTGATACAGCATCGCATGCGCCCCATTAACATGTTTTGTCTTCGCGATATCCAGCGCTAACTTCTCCGGTAGCACCTCACCCGGCCTCTCGCCCTCATTCTTAGCGTTCCAGAAGGTCAGGTACTCGGAGGATAGGTAGGAGTAGTGTTTTCCTAGGCGTTGGAGCACGGAGGGCACCCATATCCAGTTCTCGAGAAGAATGCTGGGGATTTCGACAAAGTCGCGTGCGCAGCCGTGTTGGTGGCTGGTGTGTGTTACCAGCTTGTGGATTGCGTGGCCGAGCTCGTGAAACATTGTCTTTAGCTCCGAGTGTAGGAGGAGAGTTGGCTGGGAGGGCGTGTGGAGGAGGGATGTTATTAGTGATGAAGAGGGATAATGGCGTTTGTTGTCTGATGTTACGAAGCCCTGAGACGTCAGTGGAATAATTCTGTCCGTCATGCTGGGTGGACTTACAGGTTGGATGAGAGAGCTATGCGCACCAGCGTATTTCCCCTCTCGTGCATAAAGGTCAAGGTAGAGATATCCAAGAAACTCACCACCTTGATCCTCGGCATTCCACGCTTCGTAGACGGTCACATCCTTCTGCCAAACCGGCGCATCAGTGGGTACAAACACCATCCCAAAGATCTCCTCAAAGATGTTGAGCATGCCCTTCAAGCTATGGCTAACCTCAAAATACTCCGAGATAAGAAGTGAATCAACAGAATATCTCTCCTTCTCCAATATCCTCGCATAAAACGCCCAGTCCCATGCATTCAACCTCTTTACATCCTCTCCATCCTCATCAGTGCCGTTGTCTCGGATGTAAACCTTCTTGATCTCAAACAACGTCTTCATTTCTTCATCTGCAAGGGGCTTCAACTCTGTCCTCAATTTATTCAGCATCTCCATCACGCTCTCGACGCTTTTCGCCATTTTATCTTGCATCTTGAGCTCGGCGTGTGTTTTGAAGCCTAGCATTCGCGCTGTGCTATTGCGTAGCTCCACGGCACGCTCAAGACGGGTCACGTTCTCGGGGAAACGGCTCTCTTTGGCGATGTTGTATGCTTTGCGTGTTTGGGCGCTGGTGGCGTGTTTCATGATTGAGATCATGTGGCCTTTCTTGAAGGTTGCTCTGAGGAGCCCGTCGTCGTTTGTCTTCATTGCGTCGAGAATAGATGCTGGTACGCCGTTGAGTTGTTCCCGCGTGAAGAAGATGCCCTCGTCGGATTCACTAATTGTCTTGCGCGCTGCAACGAGAACTTCATTTCGTTCCTGTACAGCAGCTTTGTACTGTTCCCTCAGACCTTCATCATCGATGCCCGCTCCAGTGTTTTGGTAAGCTCTATGCGTCTTAAATAGAGTATACGCATCTTCCTCTCCCAGCTTCTCCTCCCCACGCTGATGCTTCTCATAAACTGCTTTCACAAGAGCAGCTATATCTCTCCTCATAAGTGCCTCAGAATTGGCTTTGAGAAGCATCTCCTCCGCTGTACGCGATGCATCGCGGAGGTCTTTATCTTCTGACACAGAGCTGAAGAGACGAATGATGAGGGTTTGTTTAGATACCGCATGATCATCATTTAGCATGGGCGTAAGAAGACTTGAGAATGTGGCGGTTGAGGGCGTGAGGGTTGATGAGAGGGCATCTTCGAGGGCGGTGGTTGATGAAATGAGGGAGGATGTCTGGGATAGGATGGCGGAGGGTGTTGTTGTGAATGAGGGAGGCGGCTGGGGCGGTTTACGGGACATTGTGTGAATGTTTTGGAGTTTTCTCTTTGAGGCGAGAGGAAAGAAGCGGGTGAGGAGGGGGACAAGTCTCATGAGGGATGTTGTAGATGTTGAGCTTTGGAAGCGCCAAACTGCGGGGCTAGAGTTTGCTGAAGATCCATCATGAAACGGTCCAACTCTCAACATTGCTTTGTACACAGAAAGGAATCTTCCATACTATCGCCTTTCAATTTACAGGCATTTTATTTCGTTTGCCTGTCAGTTTTCACCTCCCACGAAAGGCTCAACCTCCTTAAGTGAGGCACTCCTCACTTGTTTTCCGTCAAGTAACAATGTGTTCAGGTCGCTAACTACCCTGTAGCAGTATGCTATGTAGTAGCAAGACGTTTATTCTACAGCTTGTATTTGAGACTGCTGTTGGAATGGCACTTCATCAGAGCGAGGTAATCAACTGCATCTTGTGATCAAGTTTCTCTCAACATTGTGTTCCATCTATGTCAATCGTATAGACTATAACTTCGCCGTCGCCCATGCTGCTCCACAACCGCCAACACCATCGCTCATTTTACAACTGTATAACCAACCAAAAACAGTTCCAAACCTCTACTGCATAACCAAGACGTTCCTGAATCGAGGCTTTCCAGCCTGAAGACTCTCCACCGCATCCTGTACCTTTTCCAAAGGATACTTCTCGATCATACACTTCACTCCATGAATCATGGAGAATCGAAGAGCCTCCTCGCTATCGAGGGCATGACCACTAGGCCAGCCAACAATGCTAGCACCCTTCAAGACGAGCGACACTGTATCGATCTCTGCTGGCCCAACAGGTGCAAGACTAAGTAACTTGCCCTCAGCAGCGAGACCATTGACGAGTGGTGCCACAGCCTTGGGGTTGGGTGCAGTTTGTACGATGATGGCGGCACCACCAAGCTTGGTGAGTTCTTCAGCTGGGTCGCTCTTCTTAGTGTTGATATAGTGATGGGCGCCGAGTTGCTTGGCAAAATCGGCCTTATCGTCGCCTGATGAGAGGACAGCGACTTCATAGCCCATCTTATTGGCGTATTGGACGGCAAGATGGCCAAGACCACCAAGACCTTGGATCGCAACGAGATTGCCCTGCTCGACATGTAACTTTCGGATGCCGTTAAAGACAGTGACACCAGCGCAGAGAAGAGGAGCAGCCTCAGCAGGATCCAGCTCCTTCGGGACACGAACAACAGCCTCCGCTCTCAAGAGTACATACTCGGCAAACCCACCGTCCTGACTGACACCATTGATCGCCTTGTTGTCGCACATCTGGAATTGAGCGCGCTGGCACTGTCGGCAAGTTCGGTCATGACCGCCGTGCCAAGGTCCACCAACACGGTCGCCGTTCTTGAAGTTCTCAACGCCTTCGCCGACCTCAACCACGTCGCCGATGATCTCATGGCCTGGGACACGGGGGAAGACATCGCCCATGTGGCCGGCGCCAGTGGCGACGTCGGAGAAGCAGACGCCGCAGGCGAGAACCTTGGCGAGGATTTGGCCTTTGGAGGGGTGTTTGAGGGGCACGTCGCTGAGAGTCCATGATGCGTTGGCTTTGTCGAGGACGCAAGCCTTGTAAGTCTGAGGAAGAGAAGACATGATTGATGTTGGATTGACTTTGGATTGAGACTGTTTAAATGTTCAAAGAGATTGTAATGTTATGGAATTCACAACGAGGAGATACAAGAACTTATATAGAACAACCCCAAGAACGTCTACACTAGCTACTAGGTATACATCATATCTTGCTAAGAGTGCATTTCCCGTCATTGGCGAATGGCGATTGGCTAACTCCGTTCTCCGATAAGGAAAGCTCACCCCGCATCATGGCAAGCGGAATAAACTCAACTGTCGCAAACATCCGAGTGTCATTGGACAATGCCCGGACTTAGGGCGGCCGACAATTACATCACCGGCACTTCAGCCGTGCCGTTCTTGGTGTTGATCTCGGGCGTGTGTACTTTAAAGCCGGGAATGGATGTCGGAAATGCAGTCATCAATTCTTCCAAAACCGATGGCCCGTCATTGGTCGCCAATTAATCCGACAGCTGGGATGATCCGAGAGCTGGGAGTCAAGCCACAGTTCAGCCACACCTGAAAATTTCCCCCACTATCAATTCAGTCCAGTCCGCGATGCGCAGAGCTTCAAGGAACGATAGATACTATCCGTCCATTACCGCACGATGCCTCTCGATACGTCAACATACTCATTAGCGCTCCTGCGCGTCGACGGCAGAAGATGGAACGAACTCCGTCGTCTGCATGCGCAGATCCGAACTCAGGATGCTGCTGACGGTTCATCATATCTTGAAATGGGCCATACAAAAGTCATGTGCATCGTGACAGGTCCTTCAGAGCAGCAGGTTCAAAGGCGTGGTGGACAACAAGCTCCCCGTGACACAGCAGCTATCAACGTCAATGTCGTGGTAGCGGGCTTTTCGAGTGTGGATCGAAAGAAGAGAGGGCGCAATGACAAGTATGTTTCTTGCTGGGCAGTGGAAGGCTTGGGACTAACTGTTTAGGCGCATACAAGAGATTGAAACGACGATTGCGAATGCCTTTTCTTCCAACTTACATACACACCTGTTTCCTCACTCTTCCATCACAATCTCTCTTCACGTTCTATCGCAAGACGGATCCCTCCTCGCTGCTCTTCTCAACGCAACGACCCTCGCCCTCATCGACGCTGGTATCCCAATGACAGACTACATTGCTGCCTGCACAGCGGGCTCAACATCAACATATGCTGCAGGCGACGACACAGCCGATCCGCTCCTCGATCTAAACAACCAAGAAGAGCAAGAACTCCCCTTTTTGACGGTCGCGACACAGGGTGATAACGATCAGGTTGCAGTACTCGTATGCGAGAGTCGTGTGCAAGTTAGCAGACTGGAGGGAATGTTGGTCGTTGGTGTGGATGGGTGCAAGCAGGTGAAGCAGTTCTTGGATCAGGTTGTTAAGGATAAGGGTGCTGAGATGGTGAAGGAGGGTGCGGTGGAGAAGAATGATGCTATGGGGATGGATTTGGATGATTAGATATCATGTGCATTGGGTCATAGAAATATTTGGAGTTATCTGTTTGATCTGCTATATGACAGGTATGTCTTCGCTATCAAAGTTATAGTCACAGACTAATTGTAAGATTCAAGGGACTCCCTTTACAGCTCCTCGTGCTTGATCTCCTCCTTGGTCTTAGGCTCAGCTTCAGACTCAGCGACTGGTTCAGCTTCTGGCTCAGGGGTCTTGGCCTCGGCCTCAGCTTCAGCTGGAGTCTCAGACTCAATCTCAGCCTCAGTCTCAACCTCAGTCTTGGCTTCCTTAGGACCGTCAGTCTCAACCTCAGGTTCGGGGTCAGTAGCTTGAGTAGACTTCTCCTCAGCAGCCTCGGTCTTTTCGACAATAACACCCTCGGGGATCTTCTTCTTAGCACCTTCACCCATGCGAATAGCATCAATCCAGTTCTCAACGCTAGTGAGGCTAAAGTCGCCTTCGTATTGACGCCACCAGTTGCGGCGGGTGTTGATAGCGATCAGGTTGACCTCGTTCTTGAATCCAAGAGCCTTGGGAAGGGTAGAGGCAGCGTCGCTGTCGCTGGGAACAGCGATGATGGGGAATGTCTTTCGGCCACCGTGGACATACTTGGTGTTGAGGTGCGAAAGTGAGTCAACAGCCTTTTCTCCAGCTTCACCAGGAGTGAAGACAAGAACACAGGTGTGAGACTTGGGAGCGAGACACTCCTCGGCGAGCTTCTCCAGACTAGAGATAGTAGAGATAGGAATGATTGTGGGAACTGCTTCAGCAGCCTCAGTGGAAGACTCCTGTGACTCAACGGGCTCCTCCTTTGCAGCCTCAGTGGCCTTGCTCTTCTTGGCGCTCTTAGCGCTCTTGGACTCGGCCTTCTTAGACTCGGCCTTCTTAGGCTTTGAGCTCTTGGTGTTGCCGGTGGCGTGAACGGGATTAGGCTCTCCGGCCTGGGAGAGAAACTTGACCATCTCCTTCTTGACCATCTCACCGTCGTAGACAATGGAATCCTTGCCTTCACCAGGGATAAGGACAAGAGCGGGGAACTTCTCAATGCCAAACTGCTTAACCGCAGCTGTCTCCTTATCACGGATCTGGGCCACCGAAATAACATCAAGGAAGTCAATGGCAAGGCTGCGGATCAAAGCGCTTGTCGTTCCCTTTGAAGTGAAGAGGATAGCCTTGGGCTTATCACCCTTGAGGAAAGAGTCAAGATCCTTGTCGCCCACACGCGTGACATGGTTGTTGATCTTGCTCATGACAGCCTCTTGAATAGCGCCTGCAGTTCGTTGACCCTGGTAGTCTTCAACAACAGGGTTACCAGTCTTCTTTCCAGGACGAACGATCTTGAGGGTTGGGAAGCCCTGGACACCCATACCACCACAGAACTGCTTGTTGGACTCTTCGTCACAGTCAATAGCTGCGACTTGAGCGAGGCCATCGAGATTCTTGGCGGCCTTTTCATAGGCGGGCTTGAGGTTCTGACAGTGGCCGCACCATGGGGCGTAGAACTCGACGATCTATGATGTGTAAGTGGCGATAGTCAATAGTGACGAGATGAAAGAAAGACAAGACTTACAGAGGTGTAGTTGGACTTGGCAATGAGCTTATCGTAGTTGCGAGCGTTGACCTGAAGAACCGGTGAGTTCTTGGTGTAGATGGCAGCTTGAGCCTCTGGCAGAGCCGCAAGGGCAGCTGTCAAGGTCACCAAGAGCGAGGTGGGGTTAGGCATGATGAAGAATCTCTCCAGTGCAATAGAACAAAAAGAGACAGACAGTATTCAATAGAATTGTGGTGAGATAGAATCACTTCTACAGTGTTCGGTACTGCAAAGATCAAGTTATAGTTGCCTGTTGGTCCTCGTCAAGAACAAAGTGGCATCTTCTGGAAAAGGAAAGGAAAAAGCCACGGTGACAGACCTCCAAAAAGTGAAGTGAAGCCAGGGTCTCTGATTCGACGGCTTGAGCTAGAGCCACAAGTGGCGTGAGCTGATCGAATCCGGGGAACCAGTGGCTGTGCGCCGCTAACCTTACGTCAATGCTAGGCAGACAGAAGAGGAGGGGTCCATACACAGTAGTTATCTCCAAGACAACTTGACTTGGCTTGGCTTGACTTGGAGTCGACATTAATTTGCGCCATCTTGACTCGACCCTCACCCTCTACGCTTCCAACTCTGAGTTTACTTGGATACCACAAGATACAACCCCAACATGGCAGAACCTCTTCCAGCTGCGCTCAAAATCCCTGAAGTCAGTCGCTTCATCAATCGCGCAAATCAGCTGAGGAGCATCAAGCCCGCCATCGCATACTGGTGTAGGCAACAATCACATCCTCTTGCTCAAGAACTTGGCTGATAATAGCTCACAGGCGAATACCATGCTGTCAACCAAATCGTGGGAAAGAGCCTACACACCACCGACGACGATACCTTTGAGTTCACAAAGACACTGATCGAGCGCCTTGAAGCTACAAAGACGGAACGAGCTGATGATGATGCCATCGTCGATAACGCGGCGGGACAGGCTTACGTTGAGCAATTCGCTCAACAAACGTTTGAGAGAGCAGAGCGCACAATGCGCGCTAACAAGGTGACAAGGTATGTCGTCTCTACCAGCTTATAAAGACAAGCTTGACTAACGGACGGGTGTAGACAAACTGCCGACACATTCGACGCTGCTGCGACGTTCTTCGACCTCACCCGCGAATGGGGTGAGCCTGACCCCGAAGTCGTCAAGAAGATCAAATTTGCCAAATGGAACGCTGCGCGAATCCTGAAGGCTATTCGCGAAGGAAAAGATCCCAACGAGACGAACCCCAATGCCCCTGAGCCTGAACCCGAAGTTGCTCTCGATCCCTCCGATCCTGAGGTCCAGCTCCTTTCTGGAGCTCCCCGTGCTTCGGTCGAGGATGCGCCAGATGCTGGAGAACCTCCTAGTGTTCCTACCTTCACGGATGCGCCGCCTAGAATTCCAGATGATCCGGGTTATTTCCCTCCTCAACCTGAACACCAGCCCCAGGCGCCTGAACCATTTGTGCCCTCGCCTTTGAGTCAGAGCCCTACGCCAGGGCTGTCCGGCGGTCCTCCTCCTCCACCACCCGTTGGTCTACCGCCTGTTGTGTCTCCTGTGCCAGAGTCCCCAGCACAGCCTGCAACACAGATCCCTCCTCAGCCATCACCTCAAATCCCCACCAAGCTTCCCTCACAATTTGCTCCTCCTCCGCCCGAACCATTCACCCCTTCAGCACCCCCATCCTGGACAACGACCCCGAGTGCTCCTCATCCTGCTGCTTCAACCCCCCCACCTGTGATTCGTCAAGCCCCTCCTCCTCAGCCTCCAGCACCAGCACCTGTCCAGACTACCGGTTTCACGACAGATCAACGAGATATCAACCAGGCGCAGAAGCACGCCAAGTGGGCGATATCCGCACTCAACTTTGAGGACGTACCCACTGCGGTTCAGGAGCTGCGCAATGCACTGCGAATGCTTGGTGCTCAGTAAGACAGTTTGTTAGTGTTTTGGATTCAAGAAGCATAGATGAGAACGATACCACGAGTTTAAATAGCATGAAAAGAGCTACTATAGTGTTCATCTTATGAATAAAGCTAAGAGTATATGTGTTATCTGCTGCATACCAGTATCAAAGTCCGCTTCGTAAATCTCATTCGAGCCAAAGCTCTCTATCGTGAGAATCGTTCACTCAGGCCAAAGCCAGTAAGCCATGAGCCTCATATCCGGGGTGAGGGAACCCTTCAGGATAGCCCACTTTCTGAGTCTCTTCTTCCTCATCAACAGAGGTGTCAGTCCATCCTCTCTCAGGGCCCCATTCAATGGCTAAACCAGCTTCGTTGACGACGCCCATGAGACCCTGCATCATATCACCGGACTTCTTAACGCTAGTCCAGCCGTCAAACTGGACTGCGTGAACAGATGGCAGGGCCTCTATGACATCGGTCAGGAGATTTCGGCTGAAGCCCTCGTAGAATCCATCTGAGCGACGCCAACCCTGGAAGATGTTGTCGCTAGGGTCACACTCCACAAATACGTTCAAGCACTCAACGTCAACACAGTCAGAGAGCCCCAGCGCGGGGTTAACAACCCATCCTCTCGGCGGCGCATTCCATCCAGGTCCAAGTCTCAACTCAAGAGACGTAACGCACTTGCGCTGCTGCGGCTTCAACCTCGCCAGGAGAGGCTTCTTGCTCTTGAAGTATTTTCCAGGGTACGTCGGAAACAATCGAAACGTCCGTGTGCTATAAAACGCGAAAGTCGCCTCATCATGAACCTGCCTACAAACGCGCATAAGACCTAATTTCTTATGCACGCGCTTGTAATTCTGAGGACCGAGATCTAAAAGCTTATCGACATCATCGAAGAAGTATGTGTATATCGAAATGCGCACTTCGGCGGGCAGTGAGAGAAAGTGGAATGGTGTTTTTGGGACTCGGCGTTTGGGGCGGAGAGGAATAAGAGGGACGTCGAGAGTCAGGTCGGCGATGTTGATCTTGTTGACATCTTCCTCTGTGACGACGGGCGCAGGGTCTGTGGGAGGTGCGCTTTTGGTAGAGGGCATCACGATACGTATTGAGCCAGCTGGACGAGAGCTCAGCGCTGGGCGAGACGCTGAGCTCTTGCTCGATCGTCGGGCCATGGTGAGTGGTTGTGAGTGTTGAGTGGCAAAGAGGAGAATTTCGACGATAACGAAAATCGAGGTGGGTAGGTCGGACTAGAGGAGATGACAAAGGGCCGAGGCTAATTGTCGAATCGTGAAGGTTTCGTTTAGTTTGGAGGAGTGAGGTTTGTCATGAGGGTGGGTATCATCGTGTAGAAGCAATCGATGAGAAAGCACTTGAGAACGGCGGCGTCAAATTGGAGTCTCGGGTAGCTAGTCGGAATAATCGGGGACTACTTAGATCGTGGCGAAAAAAAGGAATATCTTTTGCAGAATAAGAAATTCTTTTGCTAGAGAGAAATTGTCAGAAGACTCTCGATGTCATAAGCGACGGTGGAAATGAGATGAGAAATAGAGAAACGCTTGCACTATTAATATCGTCTTCTTATTAGAGAATATCATCAACTTGGCAGGCCAATTCACTGAACAAGGGTCTCTACTGGAGTCCATTTCATGGAGGGGTTCATGATCGGAGGGCGACCGGAGCTGATGTCCCCATTTCACGTGAGTGATAAAAGGATATGACGCCATCGGCCTATAAAAAGTCCGTGCTACTGAGCACGGCTAATCCACGGTGTCTTCCCTCGAGAAGCTCCACTTTGGAGTAGAACCGTGCGATTTTTTTCCACGGCCGACGACGCCATGCCATTCTATGGCGGAGTATCAGACCAACTTCGTCAAGCTGCACGTCAACACCCCAGGCCATTGAAGTTGGGATCCTCCACCATCGAAACCGCAAAACAACCCCTCCAACTATAGCGGTTCCGCTCCTCTCCCTTCGCTATGCTGTCCAGAGTAGCCCAGGCTTCGCGCTTGGGCTTGATGACAGCTCGTCTGTCACGGCCCGTCGCATCTCCTCTCCGAGCTCTTCCCGCCGTCGCTCCCCAATTTGCCTCGCCATGGCTCCGAACATACGCCAAGAAATCCTCCTCTCAAAAAAACAAAGATTCGAAACAGAATCCTCCCCAGGCGCAAAAGGATGCTGAAAACGTCGAGAAGCCTGCTGAGAATGACGTCGACAAGGCTGGCGAGAAGTCTACCGAGGCTCCGAAGGAGGGGGAGCAAATACCTTTCCACAAGCTACCCGATCTGACACAGGGTATCCCTTCGACGCTGTTTGAGGAGATGGGAGGTGATAAGAAGAAGGAACAGAAGGAACTGCAGGAGATGGAGGAGGCTGAATCTAGTGGTGGGCGTGAACGATCGGAATATGTCTCTACGTCTGAGCGAAATCGCAAGTGGTGGACAAGATTCATGCTTATTACAGCTGCTGCCGGTGGTACTCTGAGCGTTCTATACATGGGCCGGAACTGGGAAGACACTATCGAAGCTGAGCGTCACTCTGACATTCCCAACGGCCCTGGTCTTGGTCTGTGGTGGAAGCGTGCCAAGGCTCGTTTGACCGAGTCCGTTACTTACTACCAAGAGCCTGCATTCGAGAAGCTCCTCCCCGATCCCGATCCTACGTTCGAGCGCCCTTACACTCTCTGTCTGAGCTTGGACGATCTTCTCGTTCACAGCGAGTGGTCCCGTGAACATGGCTGGAGAATCGCAAAGCGACCTGGTGTCGACTACTTCATACGGTATCTTAGTCAGTACTATGAGCTGGTCCTTTTCACCTCTGTGCCGTTTGCTACTGGCGAGCCTATCATGAGGAAATTGGATCCTTTCCGATTAATCTTGTGGCCCCTCTACCGAGAGGCTACTAAGTTTGAGAATGGAGAGATCGTCAAGGTAAGCGTCCTCAATAGTCATCAATATTCTTGCGCTAACAGTTTAGGATCTTTCTTACCTTAACCGTGATTTGAAGAAGGTGATCATTATCGACAGCAACCCCAAGCACGTCCGCAACCAACCCGAGAACGCCATCATCCTTGACCCCTGGAAAGGCGACCGAAACGACAAGGAGCTCGTCAACCTCATTCCCTTCCTCGAGTACATCCACACCATGCAGTACGATGATGTCCGCAAGGTCATCAAGTCCTTCGACGGCAAGCACATCCCTACGGAATTCGCCCGTCGTGAAGCGATCGCCCGCAAGGAGTTCCAGGCCAAGCAACTCGCCCACAAGCAAAAGCACGGCTCCGGAGTCGGCGCCCTCGGCAACCTCCTCGGTCTCAACCCCAGCAACATGAGCATGATGGTCTCTCCCGAAGGCGAGCAAAACCCCGCCGAGGCCTTCGCGCAGGGCAAGATGCTCCAAGACGTTGCCCGCGAGCGCGGCCAGCGAAACTACATGGAGCTGGAGAAGCAGATCCGCGAGAACGGCGAGAAATGGCTCAAGGAAGAAGCCGCCATGATGGAGGCGGCCCAGAAGGAAGCTATGAACAGCATGATGGGTTCGTTCTCTGGCATGTTTGGCGGCGGGCCACCACCACCTGAGAAGAAGGCCTAGAAAAGGGGGATGGCCGCTGAGTGAGGTGGCAAGCACATCTCCACTAATTAATGTCTTGTAATTTTTTTACGATAGGGGATCTCTGTTGCAAAATACCATACTTCAGATTGGGAAGAGGTCTTATAGAAAAAGCATGGAGGGATGCATCCTTGATGATTTGGGGCATTTGGTGTAAGAGTGAAGAGGGACTTTTGTATATTAGGTGTATGTTGGGGAATGGATATGTAAAAATATGACGTTACAAGTGAAGTTCATGAGATAGGATTGAAGCAATGTGCTACCGCCTCTTTTGCCGTCACCGTGATGCTTTCGGTTGTGTTGGGTGCTGGGAAGGACTTGTGTTTGTGTATTAACAGACCTTAAGTAGCAAGAAAGCTTGAGACTTGAGAAGAGGGTGCTAAGATAGACTTGTTAAAGAGTCGCCTAACCAGCTGAAGAGCTTTAAGAAGCTCAACTGACAGAGTCTATGACTCGCCCACGACTTCGACCTTTTCCCTACATCCTAGGTCTACCGTTATGGATGAATGGGAAGTCTTCTCTTTGCTCTCCTCTCTAGGATCGATTGTTGATATGGATGTTGGGGGGGAGTGATCCCTCTCTCGCTCCCCCATCCATCCGTAGGCTGGGGTCCCGTTGAAGCGCCCTATGGAAGGTCGCCTGTCTCCGAGCGGTACATTTGGGTAGTGACTTGCTGAGGCACGGGCTTTGCTTGAAATTGTCTCGACTGGGGACGAGCGTCCTGAGCTTGCTGGACTTGAAGCGCGCTTCTCGCCGGGCAGAGGAAATCCCTTGAACTGCCTACATTTGGATACGGTTAGCCAACTCAACTCTCCGATAAGGTGAAGTGAAAGTCACGACAGTGCTTACTCGAGGCCCTGGATGTTCCGCTGGCTCGTCATCTTCTTATGCCACATTGGCGCCTGGTACATGTCCCTTTGAAACCTGTCCTCTGCAGCCTCCTTCGGCTTCATGGGGAGGTAGCTGTTGCGGTATATCCCCATGCTTGAAGGACCTCGCTCTGCTGCCGGCTTCACGTCTTTGGAGCTGCCACAGCACATGGTGAGGAATTTCGGGTTAGGGGATTCGTAAGAAATGTATTGTAAGAAGAGAAAAGAAACATGTGAAAGAGGGAAAGGAGGTGGAGGGCGGGACCCATGGGCTTTTTGTCTTGAAGCAACTTCCCCGTCAACAAACCAGGCGTGTTTGGTTACCACGGCCATCTTGCTTCATCATTGGCCCTGTATTCTTTCACCTTGTAGCTCCTCCTAAAGCTGTACGACAAGCGTTAGGTTCGGGAGACCGAGGAAGGATACTACGAATTGAGGGGCTATTGCTCAAATCTCCTATCGTCACCGCAGTCTTGAAGTTGATCGCATGAATCTTCCCCTCAGAGAAACACGATACAGCGTGTCGTCTCCTCTGACCGGAATTATAATGAGTGAGCATCAGTGAGGAGTCAATCCTGGAGGCTACTCATGATTGCTATCGCCAATTAAAGAAACGCTTCCTAGATCTGCATTGGTCCAACCACAGACAATACCTCTTGAGTGGACCCATGTTTGCGAAATAACGACTTTTATTACAATGCATGAGTGATGGGTCTGTGTTGTCCTGAAGATATCAACTAACCTTGTGCACTGTGAAATCCTGTTGGCATATCAACGTTTTGACATTGCAATCCGTCGCCTCTCGAGTGAGGAGGTACCTAATCACAGTAGGCCCCCCTTCCCAGTTATCGTCTACAAAGGCTACACCTCGTCCCAAATCCTCTTCTCCACATAACCTCATCACAACAACACAAATCACCACTGATCGATCTCCTTTCTTTCTCACGCCATCTCAGTTCTGTCTCTCAGTCACAGACCTTAACTACACTCTTCAAGATGTGCTTTTTCAAAAGCGAGGAACAACATCTTCGCGGCCAGAATGCATGGAAGTACCGCCACACCAATTTTGTGTTCAACAACGCAGGGGGCCAATACATCGAGCGAAAGGGTGCGGATGCCCTCAGAGCCGGTATTCCCGGTAGAGGCCCCCTCTATGAGCATGGACCGATGAGATCTCATGCTATCACGCATAGAAATAGGCCCAGGGACGACCACACTGCCTCACCCACCTTCGAAAAGGTCAACTGGAGTGGTGATGGAAACGGGGCCGACCAGTTGCGAAGGGTATCTCCACTGGGTTCGGTTCGTTCCGAGTGCCATAGCCCCGAGCCTGTCTTCAAGAAGGTTGACTGGAACGCCAAGGGGAATCCGGTACGATCGGCATCTCCTCTCGGTACGACTTCTCGGCTCGTAAGTGACTAAGACTTGTTGTTAATGATAATGTGTGCTGATACTCGACAAGTAAGTCGGCGGGACCTCGCGACGCTCCCATGATCGATACGCACAAGCTTGACAATATCAAGGAGGAGGGCCAGGGAAGGGCCCCTTCCGGCAGCCAGAAAACTCAAGACCTAGAAAGAGGATGCTAAAACAAACTTAGCAAGGAGCCCCTAAGCTGAGGCTAGATGTACCCAAGTGCTTCCTTTTTTATACCAACTATTAGGAAGATCAACACTACTTGAGCGGCATCTCCAGAGGTAACCTTTTCGCTATAAAATCCCCCTGCTCCCACGAAAAATAACCAGCTGTGACTGTAGCCTTCCTAAGCCTTCTTCAGTCTCGGTGGCTTCGTTGACCTCGAGGTCTTTCTTCAGGCACGGATTGTTGTTGGAAGGTGAATGTCAAAGTCTGTCAATCTCCAAACCGGTTATGTCTTGACGATGACCACGCGAGGTGACCCTTAGGTCCTAAGTGTAGGACTCTTTGTTCTTTTGGTACATTTGGTGCAGTGTTTCCTTGTGTGATAAGGCGTTTACTTTAGCTCTTTTGCCGCTTAGGATGCAGGCCCTAAATCTTCAATCTTCTTAAGTCTTGCCCTACCTACCACATGCTGATCAGATGAGAAGTTGAAAGTTTATCTTGTCATTATGTGGGAAGTTAGGATATTAACTGAAGTGTGTTTATAAAGTTATTATTTTGAGTTGATAGACCTGATAGCTGATGCTTACATCACACACCTTATCCTACGGCCTGACCTACAAGATCAAGCCGAGAACCCTTCGATACTCTCCACAAACAACTTTGCTACTAAAGCATGTACCTCTTTAACGGGGTGATATGAATCGAAGAAGATATGCTTCTCGGGATCACTGCACAAATGTCGTGGAACACCCTCGCTCGTATAAACGCCTGTGAGACATGCAGTCGGAGGATTAACATAGTCCTCATCGAACCCGTACGCCTCGGGGTCCGAAAACATGTCGTTGAAAAGTTCCTGCACATTAATCACCGCTGTCTTGGCGTATGCTGAGTATCCTGCAGCGATTTGCTCGAGGCCCTTTGTCAACGCGGGGACGTAGTCTTGCACGCTGGGGACGTTGTAGGCTGAAGAGTTGTACGTTGCTGGAAAGGTCGTTGCGTTGAGATAATTTGCTAGTATGATAGTTTTTGCACCTGTATTGAATCAGAATTTGAAACTTGAGTTTGAAAGGGAGGCCTTACCGGCTTGAAATAGTCTGTTAACGTTCTCGTTGATCAAGCTCGTGACCTGGCTTCCAGTAATACTTGTGTTGAAAAGAATGTCATTGGCACCAAGCCAGTGAACAAAGATATCACCTGCCTGGGGTTTATCCCACGATAGAAACGACAGAACTTGATCTGCAGCTGAAGGCACAGGAATTGTAGACTCAGCACCTGTACCTCCAGCGACGAAATCGTTGTTCGTCGTGGCTCCACCAGTCGCGAGGTTGATGAGCTCAAGACCCAGCTGCTTAGCCACTACATCATTCCATTTAGGTCCATTCCTGTCGAGAATTAGTGTGCAATCTTAATTGAGGGCAAGAAAACTCACGAGAAAGAATGGTGATAGTATGCTGGATCAACAGGCCAAGTCCCATTGCTCACGACCCAAGACCCATTCCCGTTATCGCTGAAACTATCACCAAAGACGACAAGTCTCGAGAACTTGGTAGGGAGATCAATGGGATACGCATGTGCCAAAAGGCTGCCGTAAAGGCCTGTAAACAAAGCGCTGAACATTTTCATGTTTGATCAGGTTGAAGTTGATAGCTTGGAATTTTTGAAGGGATGGATGGGGTTGATAACCTCGGCAAAAAAGCCACCGACGATGGGAATGTCTCGTATTCATATCAACAACATTTCTCTGCCACAATATGACGCCCAAAAAAAAAACTGGGAGATATGATTGGGTACTGCGCCATTTGGGCTGATTGCTTATCAAGAAAATGAATCCTACGATATTTCGTCATGTAGGTTTCCGTCCATACGAATGACTGGGAAGCTGTAGCCGGGATGTTCGGCAGTGAGATTGTTGAGATAGTTTGGGCCGATCTCATAAGCACTACAGCTCAAAAGCTCAAGGGTTCAACAGAGCTGTTCCAATGAGATTGAATCTATCATCATTGATGATGCCTTTCTCACTTGCTTGGTATGCCGCCTCAGCTTGGGATGCGCCCGATGTTCATAAGAAGTCTCCGTCGCCCAGAAAACTAAACAGCAAGGCTTCAGTCTCTTCATCCATAATCATATTCCCCGTGTCAAAACTCTCCGGCGCCGTTGGCGTACCAACATATCCCTGCGCCATAGCCTTCGAACTCTCCCCAACTTTCCTGCAAATATCAATCAACTTCCCTCTCATCTGATTGAATATAGACGGCAGATATCTCGGTGGCGTCATACCCGCCCCCTCACTCATAGCACCCTCAATCTTAACCGACAACCGTTCCAAGGTCGATGTAAAATCGTGTATGCCCGTGACGAGGTTCGGATCCCAGAGGTTGGAATGTGTAACCAACAGTCGGGAAAACATGTTTATGCAGTGTCCCATCTGGATCCAGTAGGTGTACGGCATGGAGAGGATGGTGGGGGATGTTAGGAGGAGGAAGTTTTCGATTACGGCTTTGACGGCGTTGAGACATGATACGAGAAGATAAGAGCACCGGAGGGCGTGGGGGGAGGGGTCTGAGGTGGGGAGGAGGGTTGGGTCTTTTGGTTCGTGGAGGCGTTCGTCGATGCCGATCTTGTAGAGGTAAACTTGAAGCAGGTGGAATGACATGGTCAATGGTGCTGCTGAAGGTCAGATTCAGGTATCGAAGAAGTTGCAAGCTGTTGTACTACCTTGAAGACGGGGTTCTTGATGCAGAGTCGCTCCGAGATCTTGTACCTGTCTCTCCACATGTGACGTTGCCATGAAAAGCGTATGCGAGATCTGTGCCTCGTTTCTTTCCAAATCCTGGTACAGCGTTGCACTGATCGAACTAGCGACGAGTTGTATCCTCACTAGTTGAGCAAGATATGTGTCCCAGGGAGATTCCAATCCTGTTTCAAGAATCGAGCAGCTGTTATTGATAGACGGTCGTGAGGGCATCGGTACAATGTCTTTGACACAAATCCTTAGTCTGCATCATGTTAGTTAGCATATTCGAAGATATATCGTGGCTCTAGCTTACAAGGAATTCAACCAAAAGGCTCCCAAGTGGCATCTCCTCTCATCACTTGTTCTCACGGGCTGAGGTTCTTGCTTCTTGGTGATTTCAGTCAAAACGCCCGGTGCAGTCCTGGTGCCTGACGAAGGCTCTTTGTCGAGGCCAAGCTCTGTGACTAGTGACATGGCCATGTACATGAGATTGCTGAGTTGGAGACCAAGCACCCAATGAGTTTGGTACCTTCAGTTGTCAGCATGTGCAAGTACTTGCTCCGAACAAAAGACATACCAAGCGAGGAAAACTAAAATCCCTTGAAGAAGCTGAAGATTCTTCTCCGTAAGCGTCCATATTCTCCGCCCGATCTCTTCTCGATACTTCTGCGCAAGTTCCTGCTGGATCTCAATATTCTCCTGACATGTAACCACCATGATGGCCATGTACAGCATCGGTCGTTCTTGGAACAACTTCTCGGGAGTTTCATCCAAACCTATCCACACGAAGGGAAACAGCGGCATCATTTCTTGACGATAGGTTTCCAGCATTTTGTAAGCTAGACGGTGAGAGGTAGATGATAACGGGAAGGAGAAGAGTGCGTGGATGGGTGATTGGGCTTCCGGTGGCGTTTGTGAAGTTGAACTTGTAGCTGATGAGGCTTTTCGAGGATGAGTTGCTATTGTTATTGAAGGGAGAGTGGTTGTTGATGAGGATGATAGGAGGTTTGCGACTGAATCGAACTTGGATTCTAGTCTTAGAAGATCACTAGGAAAGTCAGTCAACTTCGAGTTTGCAGGATCGAGTATACAGACTCTCGAGCATAAGCACCGCCTTTGGAATGACTCCTCCGACTATGACTCCCTCTCGGCTGAGAAATGCACTCCTTATTCAGTCTCTCACATCTATGCCAGCAATATTAGCTCTATCTCCAGTTCCAATATTGAGTAACTCACCTTGTGCACCGTTTCTGCCCCAGTACCATATCACATCTGACCTTTGCACTAGCACAGACTGTGCAGGCCTTGAGACCTCTGAATTTCGTGTCATTGGCGTCCATGTCGATTGTGAGGTGGTGATAGTGAAAAGGTGATTGTTGGTTGGGTTCTGAGAATTGACTGTAGCTTTGAACGTCATCAAATGGGCTTAGTTTCAGTGGCTATGCAGTGGTCTTGGCGTGGCTGGCGCTCTGATCCTTGGCGTCTTAAATCCTTCGGCAGTGGAAGTGACAGTAGAACAGCCTAAATAGGAAGCCCGCATAACGTTCCCCGAATGTTGTCATAGAACGTATATATCTTTCACTAAATACAAAGCTATATCTGGTAGCGTTTAATTAGTTTCTGAACCAGTCGCAGAGGCTCAACGGTGACGATACGCCATCCAAATGTTTGCGGTCAACGGAAACAACCAACAGAGTTGGGTTCGCTGAAGCTTTAGACATCGACCAACAGCATATCAAGCATGATTTTGGTTCACCAATTGAAGGCGCCGGATTTTAGCTGATCCGATCTAATATAGGCGTATGATTTTCACACTTCTTCAGTTTGAGCCATGACCTACACCATCATGTCTACCACAGCCAAGCGACCAAAAGTCTTTGCATATGCCAATTTTGATCTTGATGCTCTTATTTCTCTTGCCGCAAGACTTCGAGGCCAATCATGCACCATTGATACGTCGACAAGACCTAGAGCTGGCAGTACCCACTGGGTCATTTTCGTCGTTTTCGAGGATGGTGTCGAATGGGTCTTCAGGTCGCCTCGTTGTGGACCGAGCGCTATCATCACTGAGGAATCTGCATCTAAGTTACTCATCAGCGAGGCTTCGACTTTGAAATATCTGAGAGGTCGGGGTTCGATACTGGTACCAGAAGTCTTTTCGTTCAGGTAAGTTTTGCTACTCCAGAATAAGCACAATGATAGAACAATACGAGATCCTGATATGGCCCAACAGTGGAGATGGCAGGAATGAAATCGGAGTGCCATACATCCTCATGAGCAAAGCTAGTGGCCGTCCATTGTCGGATTATGACTGGATTGAGCTGTCTCGAATACAAGGTTATACAAGCAGACGCCCACTTCTACCCATGACGCACCGAGATCGAGAAAAGGTAATGGCGCAGTTAGGAGCCACTATGTTACAACTCTTGGATATCCATTTCGACAAGATTGGCTCGCTATTCCAAGACAGCAACGGCAACTATTGCGTTGGTGAATGCCTCAGTCCCTCTCTCCTTTGGCAACATAGAGATGAGCTAGAAGGCATAGATCGAGGTCCCTTCAACCAAGAGAGCCAATATCTTCGATCCCTGATTTCGGCATTCAATGCTCATGCGGAGGAGCTTTCACTTACTCCCCACAGTTTCTTCGCTCCAATCCCCAATCCTTTCGAATATCCGAATTGGGCAAGCTACTGTAAGGCTGTAGAAAGATGGCAAAGTTTCTGTTCAATTGGTGACAAGGTTGAGGGCAACAAGAATCGACTTGACTTCTGTATTGCCGGTCAGTTCTTGAACGAAATGGTCCCTCACTTTGCCTCAGCGGAAGCAAGATTTGTGCTCTGTCACCCAGACCTTCACCTAGGCAATATATTTATTGACGAGGACTTTAACATAACATGTATCATTGACTGGAGTTCAGCGTCAACGAGCCCTGTAGCAGAGTTGCTCTCAACCCCAGGACTCAATGGCTCACTGTCACCGCCGAATCAATCCCTTGTGACAGCGTTCAGATCAGGATTTAGCAACCGTGGCCAAGTCCTGGGGCCCCAGCAATGGGAGAGAGCTGACAAGATGTGGTATTTCTTGCGACTGGTTCGAATGCTTTCCACACAAGACTATACTCTCTTCAAGTCGTTGTTTGAACTTGTGTATAATGAGAATGCAGATAATATTCCTCGGCTCTTCCATGAGAGGAGGATGCAAGAGGCTGGCCAAGCCCAATTTGCCAAGTTATGCCAAGGCGAGTCTGAAGAGGAAGAAGACGAGCCAATACAGAAAGTTGATGATAATGGTCAAACGCATATCTCTGTCGAAGTCGTAGTTGCAAGAAAGGTTTCACTGATGTGCGAAATGAACTCCAACTTTGTTGCGGATAAGAGACTGTGGCTATGGATTGAGAGCGTCTTGGAAACATTGGATATATAGTCTGCTTCACTTACCGTTCTAGTACCCTGTTGCTAAAATAGAACCTGACTTATGGTTCCTATTAAGATAGCGGCCTGGGACTAGAATGACCCTGCAGGGTTTAAGGATGAAAAGGAAAGAAACAGAGGAAAGGATTGATGTACGGGGTATGTCCAAGGGCTGCTGCACTATCCATCGTGTACTCGAGCTCCGTAGTAGATTTTTGTCACATTTGTGATGGAGATATCAACAAGTGTCAATGTCGGGAATGGACATCACAACACCTTAAAACCCCAAATGTTTGTAAATGGACAAGTCTTGACTTGATTGTGTCGCCATTCAAATATGGAATGGCAATCAGCCGATCTCTTTCGCTTGTGTAACAAAGCCTGAGACCGGTGTGGTGAGATTGACTTGTCCAACAAGTCAAGGTGATGGATGCAAGACCTTCTAACTTTGTTTTTCGGAGTCAGTCTCTCTCTCTCGTCACATAACCGTCGTGCTTGAAACGCTTGAAATCGAGATTTGAATGACGACCGTTAGCTTATTCAATTTAAACCTGGTCTTGATTCATTAAGATTCTGTAAGAGATGCGACGGCGTTTGCTGGGCTACTGGGAACTCCGAGTACGAGATGAGCCTGTAGGAACTAAATGGCTTATCTGCTGGAGCAAGAGGCCTCAAGCAGTCTGGCTCGTATAATGCCAATATTGAGTTTGTACAACGGACGATGTGATGAGACCGAGTAAACAAACCCAGCATAAAAGTCTCGCTAAAAATAGAGACTCGGCTTGGTGCCTGAATGCGCCGGAATTGATCCTGTGACATGCATCTCCCCGTCAGCGCGAATGCCCTCAGCAGCCTTATACATTCCAACAAGGCACATGACACCAACCGCAAACAATAGTCTCATCTCATGGCATTGTTTTACCAATGGCATATAATTCTGTCGCAAACATCCCCAGATTCATCTGTTTTGGTGAGGTATCTGAAGATCCCCCTGGAGAGTTGGTATTTGGCCTAACCCGTTGCAGGCTCATTTAATTTCAACTGAAACATCCATGTCCAGGACCCGCACGCCATCGACTCCTTACAATATGTCTTCTCTCGCCCTGTAGCTTTGACCAATCGTTCACCTCTCCCCCACTCACTCTCTTTTTTTTCCTCAATGAGAGAGAGCGTTGCCTTCTCTACAGGATGGCAGCCCATTCGCCTCAGCTCAACCGCCGCGGGTCGGTAGACCAGCTCTTCGAGTTGCTGGACGGTCTCGACGAGGCCCAGATTCACACTCTCCTTGAAGACTTCAACAATACCGTCTCGAGCAACATTCCCGTCTCCCACGGCATCGACTTCTTCGAGCATCCCACGACGGGCGTGACCAAGACCAAGACTGCACCTGCGCGATCATCGTCGATTCGAAAGTCGTTTAAGCAACTCCCTAGATTGTTCACGCGCACGCCGAGCAAACGAGCTGTCTCTGCACCGATTGCGCGCCCGAAAACAGCGGCGCCGACGACGAAGCATTACAGGCGGATTAGTCGCCCTGTACTACCGACGCTTTCGAGCGGACCGGATCTAGATGCTCTGCTCTCAGCGTATCTTGCGCCGGCTCCACCGCCGTCGTCTTCGCACAAGACTATTTCCCCATCGCGATCGATATCAAGTAATTCTACACTGAGCCTCGAGGCGGAGGATTCGGGCGTTGATACACTGGCACCGCTTGTATTTGGTCGACCGCAGCGAGAAGCAAGCCCAATGGGTGATATCATGGAAGTGCTCTCGTTCTAAGCAGTGAATGGCCATGGACGAATAATACCAGCCAACACGGCACTTGGACGTACGTCCACCACGACAGTAGTGATGCAACCACTACAACAACACTATTTGCTAGCTCTGCTTGACATTGGCTCGGCGTTTTTCTATTCTGTACCATCATTGGAGGCGTTTTTCAAACTGTTTGCTAGTCAGGTACTAGACTGTCTGTCACCCACGGGGAGGTCCACTTTCTCCATCATTATCCAATACTGTTCTGTTTGTACTCCATGGATTCACGAATTCATTATAACTGCCCAACTACGTACCAATCTACTATACCCTTTCTTTGTTATGCATTTGCTCCTTACTTGAGGCTCTGAAGATTGTTTGCTGTAGCGAATAGGCCCGCATTGACTGTGCACATCGTCATCTCGTAAGGCGTTAGTGCAGTGGGCCTCTTTAGACGACCCAGACGACATTCCTTGGCAGAACTTGTACTCCGTAATATGCTTGCTTCGTGTTGGGTTGTACGGATAGTACTGCTGCATCACATTTTTGTGCTGGTGCCCTGCTCAAAAGACTCGAGACCATAACTCCTCCGTATTTCAGCGGCCAAGGACAACCTAAGTAAAGGGTTTACCTCAGACTATCCTACACTAACATAAGTTATCCTAAAGTCACCTGAAGTTTATTGAAGTTTATCGAAGTTTATCATATCCTAAAATCGCCTCGAGTTTACCCAAGTTTCCCCAAGTTTATCCTATGCCGCTACAAGAAGTCACCCTAAGTTCACCTAGGTATTTTGTTTATTAGGTAGGGCCTTACTCCCCTCCTTACGGTAGCTCATCTAGACTGTCATCATACCACGTGACCCCACGCTAGGGGAAATATCGTGCGTGGGCTCGGGCCTGAGGAAAACAAAAGTTCGGTGCCAGAGTCATTCCACAGCATCGTCAAATTTTCAACTTGCAGCTTTTAAAAACATGGGACGCGAAGACGCTCCGCCCCCCGCCGTACAGGCAGTCTTTGATGAGAATCAACAGATCATGGATCTCATCGAAGAGCTTGCAGCAGAGAAACAGCACAGCAACAAGGCCCAGCGCAACGACAAGGCCCAGCTGCAACACATTCTTGACAAGATCTACAGAAATATCGCCAGATACGGTGATGTCTTTCCCAAGTACGGGCAACATAAAGAAGCTTATTTCTACGACGTATGGCGAGGTCTCCTGAACACTATCAAAGCTATCCTGAAACTGCCTGGTGCCGACTTTGCAGGCGCCAGGATGTGTTTATCTCTCGGCGCAGAACTCATCAGACGCCCTAATGTCCCCAGATAGTATGAAGTCGACACAACGGATGATGATGATATGCTCAAAACGGATGAGAACCTTGCCGAACTATATGAGCTTTGCACAGAGGCTGATGATGTTCTCCTTGGCGCCCTGCGCAAGTTATGGATCTGTAGCGGACAGACTGAATACTTTGACTGGGTTTTCACAAACCATCAAATTGATAGACCGATTAGCCAGTTGGATACTGAACTCGCCGTGTGCCTCTCACTCGAAGAGTATCAGCGCCGCTCTAGTAAAGGGCTGCAGGGAGACCAGTATTGCTCTTCAGAACCAGACGACGAGAAGAACCTCAAAGGAACGGGCTTGGATCCGAATTTTATCTTGCAGAGGATGAAAGGAGACGCCAAACCGATCACAACTGCCATTTCCTACGAGATTGACTTTCTAGACGACGGACGGGATTATATAACTGATTGGGTTTGCGTCTTCCGCCGATCTTGGCAGTTTTCCCTGGACGCACAGCAGATCACGGAAGGAAACCTCGGTAAACAACGACAAGAACTCCTGAACACGATTTTACTCCGTCACCGCATCCCGCGAGAGATTCACAAGGAGATTGCATCTTATCTCACTGACCGCGAACCATTCCCTTACCTCAAGAAATTCGACATTGGCGCAGCTTACACTCCATTCCCTACAGTCGGTGGGAGATGTCTTGAGTGTGAGCATCTGGATGAGACCTCGGTCATCAAGCGCACGTGCCCTCAGACAGGGCTACACATCTGGAACCTCGCGTTGCGACGCTTCCACAGTTTTCATAAGAATGCCTTCAACCAATGGTCTCTGTGTAGTCACGGTAGTGATTGTAAGGGTCACCACGACGGCAGCGATCACAGCTGGGCTGTCCTCAGAGATCCAGACTTCACTCTGTTCATTGAAAATGAAGCTGCTCGAGGCAATGATGAGTTCATATCCCTGGATCAAGTTGGCTTTGGCCCTGCTCAGCAAATTTGTCTCAACAAAGCGGAGGATGAGATTCGATATAAACAGCTTCATGATGGACCCATGATCTACTCTGAAACCCATCGAGACTGGATAATGGCAGGTGGTCTGGGTGGCCTAGTAGACACCATGCTCCACGGGAGAGTGCTGCTGAAGGCATGGAGTGAAGGACACGATGAAGACCGTCAAGACGCTGGAAAGACTATTAACATGAGAACCGCCAACTGGGCTGTTGGCCGGAACTTGCTCGTGCAGAGAGCCGCAGAGTTGGCGGTCATAGACCTCCACTCGTGGCCTGGGCGATGCGAGTGGTGTCCCGGCAAGGAACACTTTGACGGGCCAGTTGCTCCCGCCTCTTATCTCCATGAGACCATTCGCTCCAAAAACACCAAACCTAAGGGACGAAAGAAGACTTAGGATCTTAACCCTAAATGACATGAGTTTGGGTAAGTGAGTACAAGTTTAGGGGATTCTTTACTAACTTTATTCAGCACTTTATGTTAAGTCTTGAGCTCTCTTCTACCCCGAAGGGGGGCCTCTTGCAGCTGGAGGCCAGGTTGTATTCCTGTCATGACTTGCGTGTCAACTTGGTGAGGATTTTAAAGTTTTGTAAGTCTGGATCTACATGAACCGTTTGGATAAGGTAGACTAACATTGAATACCGTTACTCTAGGTTCCATCAGGCTACATGCACCCACTGCGTATTGGAAGATGATTTCAGAGTAGCCAGCCTCTATTGAAGGAGCGGTTGAAGAGGACCGACTACCACTTGCAAAGGACGGCAGGCTGAAGATGTACTTGAATTGGGGCCGGGAATGTAAGAGTTTGTAATGAAGTAATATTTGTGGTCTATATTGAAATGTTAAGTCCTGTAAATCATCGAAGAATAACCGTTTGCGAAGTCTCAAGTCTGTACGACCAACAATAAGGGGCTGGCAAACTGACAGTCAAGCGCGATACAACGTCATCAAGACCGCCATCATGTGAAAACTCGCGTCCACAAAGTGATTCTATCTATTATCCTGGTAGAGGTTTAGCAGAATATGAAATCAAAAGTTGAGCGTATTGACAACCAAGTTCTTTGTACTGGTATATGTTCTCAGCCACAAGCTGCAACTGCAAACGACACATCTGGCTCCCAACAGCAGAAAGCATGCCACCAACCCACTACTTATCAGGCAGTCTTATTTATTTTTGGCGTGCAATTGACATTCGAAACCGATGAGATTTGTATTCGTCACGGCAGTTGAGACCTATAGCTTAAATCAGCACAGAGAACTTAGAACTCGCAATGGCCCCTTATGGTTGGTGTAAAGGTAGCTAATAACAACGTTATTCGTAAGAGCCTTGTACTATAAATTGTCAGGCGAGCAGCATATCAGTGATTGTAACTTGGGTCGGTCGCTGGGCCTGTTTGACTGCTTCCTTGTTTCTGCAGTAGTATATGAACAAGCGCGCTTGGAGGGAGCAAAAGGCAACCAAACGCTGGAACAATATCTGTTGGCTGTGATTGTATACTGGCTCCCACGGAGGCAGAAGAATTGACCAGTCTTAAAAATTCTTTATATAAGAATAATAAAATATAATAAAACTATAAAAATAAAGAAAAGATTATTATAAAAAAAGGAATAATTATATAGTTAACTTTATGTAAATTTTATAAACTTATAATAAAATTTTAAAATAGATAATAAAGAATTTAGTAAGATTAGCAGAGACCAGTGCGTCTGACTCCCGGTAGACTAGGTAGCAAGCTGCATGTTTTTGTAACCAATCTAAAGACTTTTAAGGTAGGTAGTTATGTGGTAAATCAGTGCGTGCACCCGACAAACAGTGCTACAGGATACATCATACCACCGTGAGTCAGAAGCTCCTTCCTTGTGTTACCTCGTCACCAACCACCAACCACCAACCACCAACCACTGATCACACCTGACCTCAGGCAAGAAAACAATACCTAGACCTTGAATAAAGTCAATAAAAGTTATCCTAAGTCTAGGCTGCATTACCTAAATCTTTGTCATTTAGGATCGAGGTCCACGACTATCCCAACTGGAAGGCACGAAGAGCTACTTTGCTCAACTTCCACTCCTTCATAACAACGACCGCAAAAAATGAGTATGGATGTCGACTTGGCGTGGACCATTATCCTCCACGCTCCAGGGCGAAACAAGCGTTTAACGAGAGCCATCATCAATACAAGTAAGCAAGCGGCAGTCACCACCGAGACCGGGGCTATCAAGAAACTACTCAAGAAGATTTACGACCACATCACCAGACTGTTCAAGGCCCTCAGCGCTCACTTTGACGGTGACGACTCCCGACCGACCGATAAGCTCGTCCTTGATACTTGGCGTTCCTTCTTACAACCTATTCGGGCACTGCGAAAACTTCCTTCCTGCGGAGAATTTGTCGCCGCGAGGTTGCTCCTCTTCACTGGAGGGGCATTTCTTGAGGAACCTGGGCTGAGTCTGAGTTATAACGAAGAAACCCTGGTCGAAGAGACCAATCCCTTGCATGGATTCACCGCGGATCTCGATGATGCACTCCTTGAGCCGTTAAAGAAGATGTGGGAGCTCAGTCAATTCCGCGAGCGTTTCGACTGGGTGTTCACTCGTTTTAATGTCAATGATTATGAAATGACCGAAGCACTTGCACTTTCTCCACAAGAGCTTGAGGATCTCGATGGAATCCGAGGTATCAAGTATTATTACCTCGCTTCAGACGATGCAAATGATGCGGACGATGCAAATGATGCAGACGCTGCGGACGAATCAGACGAATCAGACGACGACGACGAATCAGACGAAGACGATGCAGACGAACTTGAGCGATACAATCTTTACACAGGACCGATGCCCCGGTGGGACTGTGGTGAGCAAGACTGGGATAATCTCGAATGGAAGCGCAGGGGTTCCGATGGTCCTATAACTGGCTGGTTAGAATACAGAATCCAGGAGGATGAACTGCCTGATGAGAACTTCATGAATGGCTTTCATATATTTCGCCGATCGCACCAGTTCTGCCTTGATGCCAGACAAAAGTCTGAAGCCCACATCGGGCGGCAACAGCATCAAACATTTGACGAGGTCGCACGTCGCTGTGGTCTCCCTCCGGAAATGCGCAACAGAATCCTAAGCTACATCGAATACCGCGATCCATTTCCGTACCTGGAGAAACTTGATCTCGCAGAGGCATATGTCCCTTTCCCCAAAGTCGGCAAGCACTGCACCCGCTGTGACAACACCGAAGAAGAATCGAGTGCCAATCAAACCTGTCCTCAGAAAGCCATCCACGTATGGAATCTAGCCTTGCGCCGGTTCCACACATTCCATATGGACGACTGCCATGGATGGTCTCTGTGTACCCGACACGACTGCACCGGACACCACGACGACGGAGAAAACTGGAAAGTCACAGAGGAGCCTCAGTTTACCAGATATATTGAGTCCCTGGCTGCAAGAGGCAACGATGAGTTTGTATCTCTTGACAAAGTTGGCCTCGGGCCCATGAGCCCCATTCGACTCAAGGCAGAAGCCGACGACGAAAGGGAGGATGCGCTTTTCAGAGGCCGCGGCATTTACTATGAATCAAGTGAGGATGCAAAGATGATTGGAGGTCTTGGAGGATTGAAGCACGCCATGATCCATGGACATACCCTGCTTGCCGTGTGGAAGGGAGATGACTGTCATTCGAGTTTCCATCACGGTGCTAAGGCCGTGGAACCAACCTGGCAGTACGCACGTAGTTTGTACGATGAGAGGGTCGCCAAAGTGGTCATCAAACGTCTGCACTCGGGGGATGATTGTGAGTCGTGTATCGAGGCAGATGAAGAATTCATCGACTTCCCATGGATGGCTATTTGAGCACATGATGCTGGATATTTCGGTCACAGATGGTACGCAAAAATGGAGAGATAGAGGGTATGGGAGGCCTGTCTTCCAGAAGACGTACTTGTAAGAATACTCAACACCTGTTGCCTCTATCAGCAATCCAAAGTCAGGCATGACTCTGTAAATACCGTTCCCGCTCCTCTTCCAATGAGTCGAAGAACCTATGCTGCAACAGCTCCTTGGCAATCTTCCTTTTCTCAGGCAGCCACTGGAGCATAGATGAAGCAAAGTCCAGAAACACATATTTCTCATCCCCTGCTAGTTCTGTGATAGTGTCCTCCAGCTTTCGTGGTTGTACCGTAAGATCTTTACGTATGACTTGGCCTGTCGTAGCACAAAGGTTGAAAGATTAGGCTTTGCCATCAAGATTAGATTGAATTGTCCTGAACTTACCGTTCTGGTCAAAGAAGGGCCCTCCCCAATACTCGTTCATAGTCTCACACCCCTTTCCTATTGGACTTTCTATTGTTCGGCCAAGTTTTAGGTTGCGATATACACGTTCCCTTTTGACCAACGATTCAGGGGGCTCTCCCAATAGAGAAACGATCTGGGCAAGGTGGATGTGCGCATCGTAATCACCATCCTTGTCAACGATGTTCTCAAACAGGCTAGTGTTCTCTAACATGTTCCACATCTATTATGTGCAAGAATTAACGGGATGTTCTTTAGGGGAAATGTCCCAAGGTTACTTACAACAAGGCCAAAGTTCCAGATGTCGACGCTTTAAGACCATGGACAACCAAGAAGCACTTCCGGGGCACGGTAACGGTGAGATTGGATGGGAGATAGATGGCCTTTGTTGCCATCTAGCCCTGGAAAGCTCTGGTTGAAATCAGCCAGAGCTGGCAGAACCATGTTACCTCGCAATGGACCAAAATCATCTTGTGAGAGATAGATTACACGGCCATCGTCAGTTCGTACATGCCTAGGCTGGGGATTTGTAGCCAGATTCTTGACAAAATCAGTCAGAACGGAATCGTCTTCGATCGTCACCAGGATATTATCGTCCTTGATGTCTTTTGGAAATGAAGTCAGTAGCAGTACCCGTGGAGTAGTCTGGGCGTTTACCTGTGTGGATTAAATGACATTCGGTATGTAAATAGTCTAAGGCTTGGAGGATAAGAAATGTATAAGACTCGAATAGTGGCAAAGGAAGCCTCTCTCCTGGGAGCCGACGTTGCCAATGATAGAGAGTCTCCCGCATGGGTTTGTAGACAAGACAGAAGTGTGTTCCGTGAGGCCCTTCTAACTGGAACTCATCAATTGGTAGTCGGATAAAAGACAATCCTGGATGTGAGAGATTGGTGCCGGAGATGAGTTTTGAGCGTTTCGATTCGCCGGAAGCGTTGGAATCAAGGGTTGGTATCTTGATGCTAACAAAGCGGGGAGTAGCTGAGTTCCAGAACTTGTCACTACCGACCACAGATTTTAGTCATACGCATGATGAGAGAAGCTGGGCGAAACTAACAACTTGAGATTTTCAGCCAGCCAAGCAGTAGACCCAGCACCAAAGCCCAGCTTTGCAATTAACTTGAACCTGCCGTCTGGTACATCTCCAGCTTGAGTTGGATGGAAGTACTTCAACATGTTCTCGTAGAGAAACTCCTCGTCGATTGGCTCGTTGATTATATGAGCTGTATACCTATGGGATGTACTCGAATGTCGTCGACTCCAAAGATTTGGCATTCTGCGGCGGGATGTCGTCTTCAAAAATGGTTGGTACAATCTAGGCGCGAGTTTGGTTGCCAGCCATTTCACATAATACCACGTTAGTCTCAGGTATAGTCAAAGGCAGAATTTTCAAGCCAAAGTTATTGAGAATGTCGCACGATCAAAAGTAAAGAGACTCCTTCAAGGGTCATAGTGGGTAACTCGATCCTGTGGAGGAGCTGCTCACGTGACTGCAGAGAACTTGTTGGAGTCGGTTCTGTCTCGTAAATTGATAATTCAAGTCTATCAGGGTGGGTGCTATTTGTGCACCCTTGTACGAGCTGGATGGTGCGTCTCGTCTGAGAATCCAACCGTAGTAGCTCTGCAAACCGCCAATCAACTGGGTAGAACACCAGCCCCTTGGTAGCGCTCGACTATGTAAGCTAGAAATCCAACACGCTTTGATGTTCAGTACTAATGGAAGAATAGGAATGGCTACTCGATGTAAGGCCATAGTGAACGAGCTTGTAATTCGGCGAACTCTAAGAACAGAGAAGGATGTCGTGGTTCATGAGCCGATCAGGCGTTGGATCATACGAGCAGCTCCTTTGGGCATAGCAGACACTTGAAATATGCCAAGAATGCAATCAGATAACTTTATTCGCTGTTTAGGCGAGTTGTAAATGTGTGGCGTGGCGTGGTTAGATCAGATAAGATAATCTCAATCAGGATATCCGTAAAATCTCGCGACATGGCTTCAGTTTAGCGCTCGCCAAGACATTTAGGACGAGCCGACCTCGGGACTGAGAGGAGAGAAAACTCTGCCCATTCTACAAGTGAGTGGTTTATAACTAGGAGTCCCACGGAGTAATAATATGTTCTCCATGAAGACCAAACTGATCCTTTTGGCACAGACTTGCTATTGAATCGTTAACCATGGACAAAACAACTGGTACCATCGAGCTTGATCAGAAGGACGATCCAAGTCCTTCAATAACACCTCAAGCTGCTCAAAAACCCCCGGGAGTCCTGCGCATGGAAGCAGCAGCTAGCAAACTCACAACCCCCAAACGATGGATCTTCTTCACCAGCGTCTTCTTCTTCAGCTACGCCCACAACCTCGACTTCCAGACACGAAACACCTACGTCCCCTACGCCACATCATCCTTCGGGAACCACTCCCTCCTAGCTACGGTCATTGTCATCCGCGAAGTCGTCGCCTCTGCTATTCAGCCCTCGGTTGCAAGGCTGACTGATGTCTTTGGCCGCATCGAGATCTTTACCCTTGCTGTCGTTTTCAGCTTGGTTGGGACTATCATTCAGACTTATTCGGCAAACATTCAGACCTTTGCTGGTGGTGCCGTGCTGCATTCACTCGGGTACAGGATCTCAATCCTGACCATTGAGATCATGATTGCAGATTTCACGTCTATGAAGACGAGGCTGTTCTTTGCTTTTGTGCCTAACTGGCCTGCCCTTGTTAATATCTGGATAAGCGGAGAGATAACATCTGCTATTCTCTCAGTGACTTCTTGGAAATGGGGAGTTGGTATGTTTGCAATCATCAAGCCGATCTGCGCCCTGCCTCTCATCATCCTCATGTTCATCCTCGGGCGTCAGACAAACCGCCAAACAATGGAGCAGGAAACTCTAGGATCTTCTTCTTGGACTGAGTCCCTCGAGGGATTCTTCTGGGAGCTTGACGTCGTTGGCGTGCTGCTTCTAACGGCTGCCCTAGCTATGACATTGATCCCTCTCACGCTCGCAGGCGGACAGAGTGCCAAGTGGAGAGATGCCGGCATCCTGGCACCTCTCATAATTGGTCTTATTCTTTTCCCCATTTTCGTCATATGGGAGAGAAAAGTAAGCCATCCAATGCTTCCAATTCACCTCCTGAAGCACCGAACCGTATGGAGTTGTCTCGGTATTAGTACCATCTTCCCATTTGCCTTCCTGGTCATTGGAAACTATCTGTTCAGCTTGCTCGTGGTATCTTACAATTTCACCATCAAAGACGCTACCCGAGTGGCGTTACTCTATCAGTTCTGCGCTATCGTTGTGGGCTCTATCCTCGGCCCAATTATCATCAAGATTCGACGCCTCAAGGAAGTCATCTTGACTGGCATCGCACTTTTATTCGTCGGATTCGGACTTATCTACCACTTCCGAGGCGGCTCTGGTTCCAAATCTGGAGTTATTGGCGGAGAAGTCATGATGGGCATTGCTGCTGGTCTTTTCTCATGGCCAACACTTATTCTTATCCAGACCGTGGCTCAACACGAGTACATTGGAGTCTTGATATCTCTGGTTTTCACTGCCAACGCGATTGGCCAAGCACTTGGTAGCTGTGTGTCTGGTGCCATGTGGACACAGACTCTGTACAAGGAGCTAGAGAAAAACCTTGCACCATTTGGCAATGACACGCTGGCTTCAGCTGTCTACGCCTCGCCTTTGACTGTGGTTCCCCAATATCCTTTGGGATCTCCCGAGAGAGAGGCCATCGGCATGAGCTATCGATTCATCCAAAGAAACTTGAGCATTGTATCGCTCTGTCTCGTTGTACCTATCCTTGTTCTTGGACTATGTCTGCATAACCCTACACTTTCCGATCAACAAACCCAAGTGCAGGAAACCACCGAGTCTTCAAAAGAGCAGAAGCAGAGTGCTGGCAACTAAGCGTGGACTAAGTTCTCTCTGCTGATTTAAGCTCTCAGCCACAAGTCTCAAATGCAAATAGCACATCTAGGTCACAATGTAACCATTATACCACAACGCCTACCTGATTGTTACAGCACAAATACACATAGACAGAAAATCTTTATTTTAGCTATCTATCTAAGATGAACTCAAGACTTTTGCCTAAACAGCCACTCCTCAAACTCCACAGTGTCACAACCACCCAATGCTTCTTCTTTACCAGTCTTCCATCTCATAGACAGGGCGCCGAAGCTACTATGTGTTGTAGGCTGCAATGCAAACGATTTAATTCTAAAAGTCTCTGGACTGTCTTCACCCTCGCAAATGACCCTTGCTCGGTATGATCTCTCAGCGAGCGTAGTAGCCCGGCCGACATCTCCATGCGCAATGCAAATCTGGAAGGCGTCGTAGTAGAGCCGGGCGTGGTGCTGCACAGCACAGATGCCGTATTCCTCTTGTAGAGTATGAAGTAGTGACAGACAGTCTTTGAGGATGGCCTTTGGATCACTCATCATAGAAAAGGGATTTCCAATATTAGCATCAAGATGTTGGATTCGCCCTCGACGAACGTCGCTAGCTTGGAGTTGCGATGGAGGTGAAGAACATAGAGCGCATACGCAGTCAAAGCCGAACGACTTTTTGAGCATAGGTCTTCGCACGTTAGATGGGCCTCCTTCGTCGTAAGAGATGGTGATCTCCTCTCCTGCCTTGATGGGTCGTATGGCGTGAATGGTCTCGTGGCCTGCTTCGTTGTTCCAGTTGTTGTGCGAGTTCGCTAGACAACTGTGATTGATCAAGGATATCGCAGGATAGACACCGCCAACGTCAGAGCCTGAGCCACATGGGAGAGCATTTGTTCTGACGATTCCACTGAAGGGGTATTTGCCGGGGAAGTTGTTGTGAAGGGACAGGAACTCCCGTTGCTGCGACTTGGACAAAGCCTTCAACTTTGTAGCCACCGTGGCTTCCAAATCGCCCGGGGCCATAGGGTTAGCCAGCAGAAGTGGCTTTTCACAAAGAATACGGGTCCCAGTAGGAATATCAACTTTGGCAATGAGGCCTCTGCCTTTTCCAGGGATATCCCTAACTTCGAAAAGGGGCACATCAATGGAGCTTGAGGGATCGGGCTGCGAGAAGGTCATTAGGAGAGGAAGGGCATGTGATGGCTGTTTAACATACTTTGTTGTAGAGCTCAAAAGAGTCATTAACTTCATTCCATGAATAGTAGCCAAATGAATCACATCCATCATTCCATGGCTGAACACGAGGGCCGAAATACAGGCGAGCAAGGTGGATTATTGAGGAGATATAGTCGTCTATGTTCCCATTTCTATTCAGTTTAGAACTGAAGCGTAGAAACTTGTGGCCTTTGAGAGGAAGGAGGGGATGTTCTCCGACTTCAAATTCGATGTAGTTGGCCTTGATCTTGACTTTACTGTCATCTTCATAAACGGCCTTGACGTGGTCGATGAATTCCTTCCATTTCTGTTGATCCTCAGCCCCGGAAGAGAGGCGAGGGACCATGTCAAATCCAGCGTCGATACCCATTGCGAAAACGTATACCAAATCTTGTCATGTGCTGATACTGATTCCGTGATTTGATCTGGTAACTGAGGGAATGGTATTGTGATGGAGTGGGACTTGGTACATCGGAGCAAAGGACTTTGCCGCGAGATCAAACAATGGTCTCAAGAGAAAGAGATGGAGAAAATACTGGCTGAATACTTGTTCGCGTGAAGGAGACAGGTCAGCGATAGGGCATGTACTGTCTCAGTCTGACTTACGGTCTGAATGACGAATAGGCGGATTTGACCAGAACCAATACACGTATGAGACAAAATTTAGCGCCTCTATTATTGTTGAATCGGTTGTTGGGCCTTTTTGTGATCTCTATTAGGTTACACAGATGCAGGAGGCCGTCGGCCAGTCACGCAGAGATATGGTCGACAGGGTCAATGTTGAAAGTCATGAACAGATGAGTTGATAAGTTTAAGTAAACGTATAGGGTCCGGATTAGATTTTATAGGTAGATTGGAATAATTCACCGAGGCTGCTGCCTGTCCTACCTAACTGGACTGTTTGGCTTGATCTTGGTGTTTGTCCTAATGATTGACAATCTCATGGCTTGTCTGCAAATGCAATCTCACAAACCAGGCTGCCTACCTACCTGTGATTCTTTTACAATTGCAATCAAAAGAGAAAAAGTGAGTTCCTTTGTGCTACACAATTGCATAATTGCATTGCAGCATACAGTTTTGCAGGCTATCCTGATTCTGGCCAAGTCGTAGACGCACAAACAAAAGAGAGGAGGCTCAGAAAACTCTGTTATGCAGACAAATACCGACAACTAAGCTTATCAACAATAAAGTATTTCCAAGCATGATCTATTGATCAAGAAACATTCGATTCGGGCCTTAATGAAGAATTTGTCGCGATATGTCGCAAGCGATTGGCCATAAAAGGTTTTTTCATTTGGCTAGGACGCCCTTTGTCTTGTCATGGCGGATATAACGCCCGGGTTTAGTCGAACCGGCTGTTTCGCGCATCACGCCCTGCAAAACATTCTCTTAGGCGTCATCGGAGCTGAATTGACTTTTTCTCACAGTGATAGAGTTTTTAAGCCTCCTTCTAGTGCAATTCTAGACTAGAAATGCCGCCGTCGTGCAGATATTTTTCTCTAGCTCCAACACATGTGATGCATAACGATACCTCACAAACGCCCGACCTTCCAAGGCCGTATTAGTCCACCACCTTAATCCCTATCATCACGGCCTCAAAAGAAAACAAGTTTGGCTCTAGATAGCACGGACATGTCTTACCCAACTATTACACCAAGCTTCCAGTCACGTAAAATAATCCCGAGGGGAGCCGCATCTAAGAAACTCTACGCGCGCCTCGGCCACCGCCGGCGAAATTTGCATCACGTAAAAGTTACCACTTAAAACTCCACCGCGCGGGATCTTCTTGTGTAATGGAATCCTCGCTATCAACTGCTTTTACGTACAACTTCGACCGGCGGGTTGTTACCCCAGCGTGGAGAAGAGGAGATTCCCCAGACCTTGGCGGTTCTTTAAATCTGGATCTCTGCTTGCTTTTCTCTTTTTCTGAAGCGCAGAGTTGACAGCTCTGACTTGTTCCTTGTTCATCATCATTATTGCTGCTCTTATAGTACTTGCCCTGGAGGCTGAGACTTCATCATGGATACCATCACACCACCCACCGCGTCCAAGAACGTGACGAACAAAGACTCTACCCTTGATCCTGACCAGATCGCTCGAATCGACCACTCCTACGACCAAGCCATCGGCACAGTAACCGACTTCGAGAAACAGAAAACCGCTGAAGGCGAAGCCCGCTTCCGTCGTTTAGGATGGAAGCGACTCGCTGTTATCCTCATCGTTGAGGCCATTGGTCTTGGAACATTCAGTCTTCCAGGCGCCTTTGCGACACTCGGCATCGTCGCGGGTGTATTCTGCTGTATTGCCCTGGGCTTTATGGCCATCTACACAGCATGGATCATCGGAAAGATCAAGGTCCTGTATCCTTCGATTAAACATTATGGAGATATCGGTGGCTTGCTTATGGGGAGGTTTGGTGAGGAGTTGTTTGGCGCTATGTATGTGCTTCAACTCATCCTCATCACGGCCTCTTTCGTCCTCACTGGTAGCATCGCTCTCAACATTCTGGCCGATGATAAAGTTTGCGGTCTTATCTTTAGCGCCGTGTCGGGCTTCATGCTCTTCATCCTAGCTATCATGCCTTCGTTCGCCGAGGCCGCCATCTTGGGTTACATCGACCTGGTCTGCATCATGACAGCCATTGGTATTGCCGTCATCGCATCCGGTGTGAATGCTTCCAATCAACCTGGTGGCATTGGTGCTTCAGACTGGTCTGCTTGGCCTGACCCTGACGCTACTTTCAAGGATGGCATGGTGGCCATCTGCAACATCATCTTTGCTTATTGCTTTGCCATGTACATGACTCCTTTCATGGATGAGATGCATACACCTGAAGACTTTATGAAGTCTGTCTGGACCCTTGGAGGTGTCGAGATCTTCATCTACACTCTGAGCGGTTCGCTCATATATGTCTTCGTTGGCAAGGACGTGGCCAGTCCCGCTCTCCAGTCTCTACCGGGCATTCTACCCAAGGTGGCCTTTGGCGTAGCTCTCCCCATGATCTTCATTTCGGGCGCCATTGGTAATACCGTCACAGCCAAATATGTTCATCTGAGATTCTACAAAAACTCCATCGTTCGGTTCGTCAATACGCCCAAGGGTTGGGTTACTTGGCTCCTGACTCTCGCTGGCATCACAATCATCTCTTGGGTTCTCGGCGAGGCAATTCCCTTCTTCAACGACCTTCTCTCGCTCAGCTCTGCCCTTTTCGTGTCTGGCTTTATTCTGTACTTCCCAGCTGTTATGTGGTACAAGCTGATTTGCAGGGGCAAGTGGTATGCCAGAGAAAATATTCTTCATGCCATTGCTTGCATCTTTACCTTTCTCTTTGGCCTCTTGGTTCTTATTGGAGGAACATATGCCACAGCTTTGGATATCGTAAGTCTTCTATTCATCTTGCTAAGAACTCTCGACTGACACATATTGCAGCAACATCATTATGAGATCGGGGCTTTCCGTACCCCATTTTCATGTGAGGCGTAAGAGGCTATTGGGGAGTCGAGGAGTCAATTGTAGAAATCTATTTAGAATAACTATTTCCCCGCATATACCTGTATCCTGCGTAAAGCGATTGGAATAATGTAGCGCGCAATGGTGACCAAGTTTATCATGTTAACTAGATTAGTCCTGATCACGCTCTCGAAATGCACGTATCTTATTCGTGTGCCCCTAACCAGTGAAGATCCAGTATCAGTCATATGAAAGTCTGGGGCCGAAGCTAGGCGAGGATGATAATTAGTCTTACCAGATCCGACTGTACAGCTGGCAAGGGTCGACGCTTGGTGGCTCAGACGGAAGGAATTTGATGAGAATACGGAGTCTCATCACTCATACAATTGGTCAACGGCGATCTACGAAGCCATGGACCTTTTAGGAAACAACAAGCGACACATTCAATTAGCTGAGTGGTGCTCGGCGTGATGATCTTAGTGTATCAGTGCCAATCATCACGACTACATACGGTCCACACTGTCCTTTAAGTCGTAGTAGAGTCTTGAGTGACGATACATAGTTATAAGTCGGATCCTCGGTATATATGGCCCGAAGTAAACGCGGGATTACGCGACCCTTTCCCCCACGATTGTTGACGCCACGACGCGCAAGGTCCTGGTCAGGGATGACTCTTGAATTGAATAACCTCACTAATGATAACTTGAACCCTATGCAATTTTGTTGAAAGGTTCTTTAGAACTCGGGCTATGGTATGATTATTTGAATGCTATGAGGTAAGTTTTGCCATGAAATGTCCTCCCCAAAGCTTCATTCATTCATCACCACCACTGGAAATGTTGTTTTGTTAGAGCCTCTGATCACTACCGTATGCAGAACTTAACATCCCCACCACCTGTATCCTAGCTCCTGGTATCGCTTATATAGCCGCTCTCTGAATTTTCCCTTTGCCATCTTTTCTTCCTCGGTATCCTCTTCTTCCTCTAGCTCTTCATCGCTATACAGATCCTCGCATTTTCCGTACATGACTTTGAGATACTCGTATGCATATTCTTCACCCAAGCACAGGGGGCAGATAGCGCCGTGACCACAGTGTTCATGCGATAGTACACCCCCACAAAAAAAGCTCGCTTCTTCTCGTGGATCATACAGATATATGTCCAAATCCCGGTTGCCCATACACAAACGGCAGTTTCCATTCTCGAGTCGCGCGATTATATCCGGGACCTCAACGTTGTGAAAGAGGAAGTCTTCTTGGAAGCGCAGATGAGAAACTGGGATCGAGAATGCATTTTCTCGAGCAGACTTGGTGATTCTGAAAAAAGGAAAGGGTTCATTATCTAGTCTCTCCCTCTCTTCTTCGGTGACAGCCTCGTATGAGGGGTCCTTTAGACATTTCTCAAACAGGTCAACATGACCGCCATCCCCGAGCTCGCTACATTCCTTTATCTGGTCAAGAACATTGCAGATCAGAGTAGGCTCTATCCTGCTGCCGTTCGCAGACTTGTGGGTCAATTCGATACCATAGACCAGTTTATAGGTGTTCTCGTCGACAGTGATCTCTGTCAGATCGAGGATCTCCAGCCATAGTTCAGTCGGAAGTGTTTTGTTGCCTTGCTTCGTTGTGATGTGCGAAGGCCCGTGAGAAATAATGTTGCGAATGTAGCTTGCGCCCCAGCAGTCGATATCAAAAATGAGAATCGAGTTAAGCTTCACGAGGCTTTCTAAGTCTTGAGATTCCACCGGCTTCATTGTGAGTAGATGTGGAAGGCGTGGCTGTTTTTGTTGTCAATGGGACTTCGATTGTTCCTCAATGGTACATGAAAGGATGGAGGAGGAAAGAGTAAAGAGGACAATAAGACTGCTGAGTCTTGATTTTATATGTAAATGTTGTCGTCAACTCTATTTTGAGTTCTTTGTATTGCGAATACTTTCGGATTAAGCTCCAGTGGCGATCTATGCTTTCACATCATACTCTTGTTTAGTAATTACCAAGTTACTAAGTTCTGTCTGCTGATTTAAGCTCTCAGCCACAAGTCCCAACTGCAAATAACATGTTTAGCTCACAAATTAGACATTATACCATAGTAACTAACCAAATACCATGCCACATATTCGCAATCACAATAACCCGCCTCATACTAATCGCGAGTTCTTTTACTCAATATTACTACGTAAATCTTTGCAGTGAATACCAATTCTCGGCAATGGTTATAAAGCGCAAAGAACATGTCTAGGTCATGTTATAAATGTTATCCGCCGCGCCATAATGCCTATTAAGCTCGATGTGAAGAGCTAACAGAATTTGCACCAAGATTAAAACACTCTAGCGAGTAGTGTGAGAAATCGTGCGGCCCATGAGGTTATAACTTGAAAGAAGATAGGTTACACTTTTTAAAACACAAAAGGGGGCGTCTATGTTAGTAGCTGAAAGATTCTGCCTGTAAGGACATAAGAAATCGAAGTTTTTGCAGAATATTTAGACTATTAAAGAAAGAAAAAATAACATGAGTTTCTTCATTATCATAAGGAGATTATGGTGGTTTCAAGATGCAGTGCCAGCCGCCCACCCGACCTTGACACCATGAAAGGTGCCTTACATATGTCATTACCTGATCTAGGTATCGTATCAAGAGGATATGCAGAGCCTATTTGGAATAAAATGCTAAGATCAAAGTAATCTGACTAAGTTTCGCAGTTTTATTCTTTTCTTGATCATAGATGGGTGAAAAAACCTGCTCGGGCATACAAAGAATGGAATATTTCATGCCCCGGACCGGCATACCGTAGATTTAGCCACTTATTAATCTATTCATGTATCCCACGAATCTTGTTCTTTAATTTTAGATCCCAAATAGCTTAACCTTATCCCACCTCAGCTTTGCCGAGGTTGCATGAAATCGTATTCCAAAGCGCAATCTCATCCGCAGAGTTTCACAAATTTTTAGCGAGTTATTCCCTCCCAAAAACCACACAGCATATTCAGGCAAATAGGTACTATAACCCCCTTGAAACACCCGCCAGCCGCCCTAGTAAAACACGTTTCCATATTTCGACAAGCAGATTATTTTCCAGCCAACCAAATCTCAGCAGATAAGGAATCAAAACACAAACGAAACTACAAACCGTCCGATGCCAAGACCTGCCACGCCGGTAAGGTCGGATCGAACTGTGAGAGAAGTGTTTCTAGATTCTGGCGTCTAAATGCATGTCATTCACCTTTCAAGACGTTATTGGTGGGATTATCATTCGATGTATGGTCGGAAATAGCCGAATAGGGCGTGACAGGCGGCTGTGGCTTTTCGCCAAAATAACCATTTTCGAGAAGCTTAAAACAATGACATGCTCGTGTATTGACTGTGAAACGCGTGAAACTGACTCGAGTCGTTCCCTTCGGCCGTAATGGCCTTATCGCCTGCACCCTTTCAACTCCTGGTGTTGATAGGTGCGCTTACTTCGCTTCGCCGTTCGTTCTGGATTAACAGGTTGACCGTGTTTTCAGGAAATACCCTTGATGACGTCTTTCAGAGACATGGATGCAATAAGGTTGCATAATTCTGATGCCTTGATATCTTTGAGGCCCAAAAGATATGCCGCGAAGCCAGTAACGTGTGATGTTGCCATTGATGTGCATGACTCGACCTTGACACCTCCCTTGATCCAGGTACTCTTGATACCAGTGCCAAGGGCAAACGCGTCCACGGCGACACCTTAATGTGGCAATGAGGCTCTCGTATCGTTCTGGGCGGTTGCTACAACAGTACAGACCATAGGCTCATTGCTTGGCGAAACGTGAGATGCGTCCGTGTCGTCGTTGCTAGCTGCTGCAGGCAAACAATAAGACTCCATTCACACGCCGCAGCGAGAGAACAACCAATTTCACGATATATATAGCTGCTGTATTGATGGCAGCAGAAGAAGCAGCACTAAAAGACATGTTGACCACAATACCCTTGGGACACTTTCGAGTAGCAGCATCCTCAACGATGGGGTCCATCCCTGCGAGAATTCCCGATCTGCGGCGGATTATTTTCAGTAGCACTCACATAATTCCCAAAGGATGAATAAACTCACGTCTGACCCGCTGTATACTCATTTAGGACCTTGACAGCGAAGACCTGTGTCTTCTTTGCGACACCATACGTTTTAGACCCAATGGTGCCCGCAATACGAGTCCCATGACCGTTGATTGGCATCCAAGTCAGCGTCATCAACAAAGTTCTGCACAAATCTGGCGCGGCCCTCAAATTCGTGTTCTTGGGGTTAGCTTGTTTCATTCTACCGCCTTGCATAAACGATAGAGTAAAGCACTAACAGGGTGGTCAACAGCAGTGCCTGTGTCGAGAACATAAGTGCATGTGCTTTCACTGGCACTTTCGTCATAGGTGTAGATCATCCTTGCCTGATAGTTTGTGGGAGATACGGGCTAGTCCCCGGGGTGCGGTTTTCTGAGTAGATGCTTTATACACGGTGGAGACTTTTTTGATGAAATCGACTTTAGGGTCGTTAGGTAGATCTTTCAGCTCGGATTTGGTAAGGCTAGCTGAGAAGCCATTGAAAGGATTGGAGTAGGTGTAGTCGGTATTGGAGGAAATTTTGGCAACTGTGCTCGCGACAGCTTCAGAAACTGCACCGGTCTTCATAAATACGATGTACTTGCTCTCAGATTCGTGAGCTCCGTAAGCGACGATCCAAGAAGCGGTAATGACGCGCGAGCTAGTGATTAAATAGTAAGGAACCGCATGGTGACAACGTGCTCCTAGCTGTCCCAAAGAAGATTGATGCTGTGAATGACAACTGAGAAGCGACTTGAATTTCTGCAATCGTTAACACCTTGGTCCAAAAGATTTGGTTGATGATAAACAGCTTGAGAGAATTCACAAATAGACGTCCTCACTCTCATATTGCAGCAAAATAACATGGTCTATAAATCTCGTTGATGGTGATAATTATTCAGAATACCCTACGTTAGCAAGAAATTTAGCACTACAGGGATAGCTCCAGGTTCCGCTTATCAAGGCGATAACAACAACAAGAGCTTTCAAAACGATCATAAATCCAAAATGTAAGTCAAAGCTCCAAGATCTGAAGGATTGTGATGCTTTTGGGCTTCTATTATGCCTTGATACTGAGATTTCACTTGTGAAGAGCTGAAGGATCGAGTGGTGCAAGCCTAACGAGGCCCTGCTTGATGGTCTCGTGGTAAGTTGAATTAGCGATGTGAGCCAGCCAATTAGAGTTGAGACGGAATAGCGCAGCGGCCAGTCATGCAAAGCTAAAATTAAACTCGTGCGAAACTTGGGCGAAGTAGCTGCTGACAGTTGAAATCAAGAGCTGAAGCCATTCTATGCTTCTCGATTTCCGGCGATCTCTCTTAAGAAATCGAATGACATTCTGCGTGCGCAAAACTGAAGTCATCCGATAATTCCCAAGGTGCAGAGGCACTGATTTAAGCTTGTGTTACAACCTTATCTATCCTGGCTAAATACCACCATCTCAGATGTGTTTAAGAAATCTGAATGAGAGATTATTCACGTCTGATTTCCTCTAGTAGACTCTCATTGTTAAGTGGTTCTGTTAGCTACCAACTCATTCGCTTCGAGTCCATCGATGAATAACTAGATCTCAACAAGGAAGTCCTCAACAACACGGAACCTGTCCCAAAGCGGTTAATAAAGCCATCAAGCCTCCTAGATTTGCGGCTCCGCAGACCACAAACCTTAACTGCTACGGTGCTACCTTGACTGTATCGAACTACGCGCCCCGATCTACGAGCAAAACGCGTAGACTTGACTTGGCTACGACCAGGACTGCGTCAAGCATCCCGAGAGTGGATTCCACAATATCAATTGGGCTGATGAAGTGTGTGATACGAGAGACGAAGATTCCACGAGAGTTGGAACTTGGATGGTTAATATAAATCTGCATGTAAGCAAAACCCATGGTATTTGGTAACTACCAGCTGAAAATGCATGCCAATAAATATGCGTTTTAAACCAGCCCTTCACGAAACGCCAACCAAGATTACATCCTTACCTTCGGTTCCTGTATTATCAGAAAGTCTATTGCCATGTGATGTGATCATCATTCGATTATCATCGGAAATACAAGTGTTTCGAGACAATATATCCGCCCGTTCCCAGCAGTAAATCTTAACAACACTGAATATGCCCCCAAAACGGTCCGTCTATAGTGACCTTGTTAAGAATCGATGAAACGTGTGTCGCCTTTGAAGCGAGCAAGAACCCACTCAGGTCGGCCCGCTTACACGACCCTGGGCGTTTAAACGTGCCCCCTTCACACAGCTTCCACTTTGTTTTTGATACAGGGGCCGTAGCAGAAACCCTCGCCAGCGAAACCGACATTAAAATATCGGAATTTTTTGGATGCGAAAAATGTATATATACTCGTACGATGCACGATGGGTGAGTTTGTTGTCTTGTCGTCATCAGCTTCAGCTTCTACAGCAAAGTCTTCTCTTCTAGGTCCTGGTGATCGTTTTTTCCTTTCTTCTTCTTTTCTCAACTTTACTATTCTTTGTGCCGGCACATTTCTTTTTAAACTTATCTTCTAACTGTCAAGATGCATTCCTTCAAGAGCATTCTCTTCCCTTTCCTTTTTGCTTTGGCTCATGGGCACTCTGTCATTCTCAATGCCCAAGGTCTCGATACTTCTCCTGCCAGTGTAGGATTCCAAGGTAAGCATGATATTATGAGTGCTTGATTGGCTTGAGACTAATCACGTCGTCAGTTGATCCCGAGATCGCCCGCAACTGTATCACTATCAATCCTTGCCAGCAGGATGCCACTATCATTCGTGATGCAGAGATTACTGCCAACATTGTCAACCAGTGTGGCCGCACTGAGCTGTCTGGTAACATCGATGTCGGCGAGAACACCGAGAACGCCCTTTCTGCTGGGAAGGTCACTCAGGTTAAGGCTGGTGGTGAGGTCACCGTTACCATTCATCAGGTCAACGCCGATGGTGCTGGCCCGTACGTGTGTGATCTCGATGAGAGCAGCAACACCAACACCAACATTCAGGTATGTCTTTTGCCGAAGGCTGGCAGATGAGTATGATCTAACAAGAGGTACAGAACTTGACCGTCACAAATAACGTTCCCGGAACAAACGGTCTCTCTCAGGTCAAGACCCAGGCTTTCAACATCACCGTCAAGATGCCTGATGACCTCAACTGCTTTGGAGGTAAGCGTGTTCAAGCTGCTTAACAAGCCAGCGATTCTAACACAGACAGCATCCACTGGCAACATTTGCACCGTCCGATGCCGTAACAACGCTCTCGCTGGACCCTTCGGTGGCTGCTTCGCCGTCCAGCAGGCCGACTCCGACAAGAAGACCAACACTCCTCAGAACATCAAGACTACTCAGCAACTCCAGGCTATCAACGCTCAGGTCCTCCAGAACCAGAAGGACTTCCCTGATTCCGTCAAGGCCAACGAAAACGCTACCGATGACGAGGCTGAGCAGAACAAGGCTGCTGTTGACGCTCTTCTTGGTAACACCATCGTCACTTCGGCCTTTGCCACTGAGACACCCTCTGTTGCTCTTGGCCGACCTCCTGCGGCTACCGAGACAGGTGCTGCAGGCAACGATAACAACAACAATAACAACAATGGTGGTAATGGCAACAACAACGGTGGTAACAATGGAGGTAACAACGGCGGTAACAACGGCGGTAACAACGGTGGCAATGGCGGTAACGGTCAAGATCAAGGTCAAGGCAACGGCCAAGGTAATGGTAACGGCCAGGGTAACGGTCAAGGCAACGGTGGTCAAGGCGGCCAGAACAACGGTAACAACCGAGGAGGTAACGGCGGTAACCAGGGTGGCCGCGGGGGCCAGGGTCGAGGACAATTCGGTGGCGGTGGTGCCTTTGGCGGATTCGGAGGAAACGCCAAGCGAGCTGCTTCTAAGCTCCGATGGGCCAAGAGATTCTTCGCTCAAGAAGATAACTTCTGATTGACACTTGGGCGAGTGAATAAAGGAAAAGAATATTGGAACAATGGGAGGTAGATGATAGGACAATTCATTTCTGTTCTATTTGACTCGCACATATAGGAGATGCAAGTCACAACTTATAATGTTCTACAAGTACTTGAGTGCTAGGTGGAAGTCTTCGAAATGCAATTGCAATTGTAATTCCAGTGTCAATTGTCTTGCATTAGTATACAGCGTTTTCTTTCAGCCTGTACTATTGCTTGCTCCCGATATCTGACCCTCTCAATTCAGAGCTGTTGAAATATTCCACATCCTCATCTTTCCATTCCAATGAGTCAAAGCATTTCTGCGCAATTTCGCGCCCTTCGGTACCATCCAACGGGAAAAGCCCGTCGTGAAGTTTCTCTCTCAGAAACTTGCTAATGTCCCTCACCCGGCCTTGCAAGAGGAGGATGGCAAGGATGCGGCGATAGGTCTTCGAGGAGGCCCTTGATCGCGTCCCATGTTCGGCTAGGATGATGTCTCGATATTTTGTTGCATCCCTCTCGTTTATCGATGAGGCGATCAGTTCCCTGTAGATGAGGTCCGGTGTTATCAGAGTTTTGAGCAGTTCGTATGGCCAGGTAAATTTCAAATTCTGTCCAGCAATTGGGGTTCTTCTTTCCCAAAGAACTCTATATAAAGGAGTTTGTGTGTCATTGTGTTGGACGGTGGAACTCATCCTGGAAACAGGACTGAGCCGGAGCTGAGCCGGAGCTTTGCTTGTTAAGTGAAACTTGTTTCTGTAAGTAGACAGATTGAGATTTGGCCAATATGAAGTTTGAGTGGAATGTGAAGTGTGAGGCTAGAGGCACATGCGTTAGTAGGAGGGATTAAGTGCGTATGATATACCTGTCCTGTCCTGTCCATCACTCTGAAGTATGAACTGATTCACGCACACTAGATACTCAATCACTCTCGAGTACGTCGTGATTAATGTACAATTCACACAAAGACATCGATTCAGCTACTTCAAGTACTTGGCGAATGTTTTGCTGAATCACATCCGGCAGAAATGCAATCGAAGGGAGTCAGTGACAAATCTTGCGGAGGCATTGTATCATCATGCCAATTGCGATGAGTTTGTATGGTGCGCAATAGAAAGAGAGAATAGATAACGTCGTGGCCGATTCCCCTAACCTTTATGCCGAGTCACTACTGTAGTCATGTGTGAAGGTCCAAATTGTGACAGCAGTTTCAAAACCATCATCAATGCCCTGCTTGCGTAATGCAACGATGAGGAATGCGTTCATGTACGTCAAGCAAGGCAAGATGGATTGGAAATTTCTGTGGTTGTTGAAAGGAATACAGTAGACTAGGTAATCTTGTTATATTGTGTTACAATCAAGTTAAACTCCATGCACTACAGCTTGCATTTCTGCCTCCAGCCCACCAATCACTTCTTCTTTGAATCGTTTCTGAGCATCAGCATCTTCTAGAGAGGCATGATAATCGTCATAAAATCTGATACAATATCTCACAGCATCACCGTATCTCCACGGCATCCTGCCACGGTCAGTCAGTTGACGCAGCCACCTTGAGGCGGTCAAGTAGTTGGTTGAGCTATTTTGCTTCCCGTCTGAGCCCAGGTCCTCTGGGTCTCGATGGCGCTCTATTGACGTTCCTGTTTTGATTTCCATGAGCATAATCGCGAGGCTCAGCATGTTAGTACGGTCCATTTCTGAGCCTCCTTTGCTATCCACTAATCATGAGTGTTAGTTCCTGACCACTCTTTACACTCGATAAATTACCTGACTGATATTGAATGGCGAGATAGGGATATCGCATGTCTGCAGAAGCCTCGCCATCTGGGTCGGGTCGAAAGAACAAGATACTCTGCTTGTTCCAGGATTGGTGAAGCCAGCGAGTGCTCCGAAGCTGGATGCAGGATGATGCCAGTGTAATAGCTAGGCAGTAGAAATCAGATAATGCAAAGGACTGGCTTCTCAGGTCAGGAAGCAGATCCTGTAAACTAAGCCCTGTCCGCATGTTGTGACTACAGGAGCTCTCTGATGGATCAAGTCGACGCAAGACATTCCGATGATCAATAGAAAACCTCAGGTCTGGATGAGAAGCGCTCCGAATAGAATTACATATATCAGTGACTTTATGACCTTGAGTGTGGTTATCGAGGATGTTGGAGGACTGGAAACGCACGCGGCGGTTCCCGTCTTTGTTGGTGCTAAGCAAATCATCAGTCTCTGCCGGATACATCATCAGAGGCAGTATTCATACGTTGGTTCCGGTGGATCGTCAGTTTCCAGACGGAACTCAGCATGCAGCCATGTAGCGATAGTATCTGTCGAAAGTAAGGTACTAAACTGTCTAACATTTCCATATGGACGAGTTGCACCAGATCTGTGGCTGGTGGAGTTTCGAGACAGTCTCTCCTCTAGCATTATGGCAGCCTGATGATTGCAGTTACCGAGGGCGCACCAATTGCTGGACAGGGCATTATGGACTCTGGAAGCATTTCTAGAAATTTCTTCTAGGGGTCCAACGAAGCTAACGGTCATTCTGTCGGTGGTCGGTGTCGATTCGGTTAGCTGATTAGAAGCTGTCAAGATTCTATTCAATCTTGCATTACAATCTTCCAGCTTTTTCATCTCAGCTTTGACTTTATGGCGGCTCCACGTAAACTTCGCTCGCTTTTGTAGTCTGAGAGTCCTTCGTGGAAGTATGGGTTGGGCGATGGGATCGTGCTGCTGTATGATGGCCCCCAAGCCCTTGCGTGCCAGCTATCAAGATTCAGTTACACCATCTCGACACTTGATTGACATAGTTCATGACGAACCTCATCTTGGCCGGCTATATCAAGGCTTGAGGCGATCCAAATCATGCTACCCTCAATATCACGCAGTATACTTATCAGAACCGCATAACACTTGCCCAGCTTTTGTTCTATCTTTTGGAGGAACTTCCCGTCTGTCCAAGAACCATGCTGTGGATTTTCTATCATATTAAATTGTTTCTCTGGACTCACAGCGTTCTTAAGAAGCAACCGCATATTTATCTCAAAGTCCACCTGACATAACGCAAGCTGTCTTGTCATCAGTGATTTGGCTTTCTGCCAGCGGAAGAAAGCCAATGTGAACTCCGACACTTCATCTTGGTGCTTTAGCACCGATAAAATAAGAGGGATTGCTCCAAGAACTAACCCGGCGACTTCAGCCATACTGATTTCAGGTCGAAAGTTGTAGGTCGTAGGTCGGCTTGGACGACGGAAGGAATCTGGGGGAATATGAGCCAAGTTGTGAGGGTGTACGAAAGAGGAAAGAGATGCGATATGATTTGCCTTCGGTTGGCTTAAATCGTACTAGCCAACCATTGGAAGCCACGAAGTGCTGCGAGACTCTAGAGGTGACACAGGCCGAATCAGTAGCCTGAAAAGGGGTATCTCGATCCCCCCATCCTGAGCGGAGAGGAAAGACTTTAAACAGATCTTATTGAATAACAGTACGAAGAAAATAACGGTCCTGTAGAAAGACCCTATTTCTGCAAGCCTGTGTCAATAAAATGGACACCGACTCAAGAGGCTCTGTTGCATCAATAACTAGAGACAGTCTCTTATCTTTCGATGTCCTCATATCCACTCTGGGAAGCGCATCCTATCTTCATAACCAATGTATCTCAAAGAAAGCTCTCTCCAATCAGCGGGACCGACTCAAAATCTGGGCGAGCAACACAGGAGCCCTTCAAAGTGGCAATGCAGCTCTTGACGCCCGGCTTCGGGGCTTTACGGTGATGAAAGTGGCGATTACCGAGTGCTTTGAGCAGCTGGAACAGGTGATCTCCAGCAGTAGGTGAACTACGCCCAGATGTCTTTGAACTCCTACTCATAAACAGCTATAGATATGGATATCCTACAAGGACAGCGATTGCCTGTGGAACAGACGCTTGCTGAGTACCAAGAATTATGGGATAGTGCGTCTGATGACAGTTCCGACAACGAAGACAAAATGAATCAAAAGACTGAATTGGGTCGGAATCTAGTGGAGATGGCTTCCATTATTTCTGATCTTTTCAAGCTATCTTTCAAACTGAGAAACCCTGCTGCCAGATTAATGGGGCCGCAGCTGTTGAGGGCGCTATCTCATAGACAGATGGTAAGTCTGGACGAGGCTGATGAGAGTGCTGTAGTAGATTTGTTCAGTCTGTATACCAAGTTTGATCGAGCCCACGTGGAAGAAACCTTTACACAATGGCGACTTGAATCCTGGCGCCAGAAGGCTTTGCAGTTTCCTATCATTCCTGACGAAGGTAGGATCAGTCTTGCTAAGACAGAAGTGTTGGTGATAAATCGACATCTCATGGAGAGGTGGGCTAAATTTATCACGAATCGCCGCCGTGTATTTTCATACTGGGAAAGACATTCGAAGAAGTTGGCACTGAGACAGAGTGAGTTGGTTTTCAAATCGCCTTCCATTCCAACTCATCAATCATCAAAATGCAGTCCTAGTCAACAGCTCACACAAACACTGGAGCTTGACCAGCCAGCGCCAACTCTGCCTGTAGCGGAAACCATGGTGCTGTCTGAGACTGAGTTCACTTTGGCGAGTCGACTTGTGGATACTGTAAGCAACAATAGCTCGGCAGTGTCTCGCATTTCGACCGCATACAACATCGACGAGACTGCATCCAACCTCCCACCTGCTCCTAGTCTGGCCCCTGGTGAAATGGAGGCTCGATGTCCCTATTGTCATCTCGTCTGCCCTGCTAAGGAATTTCAACACAGCCGCTGGAGGTGATCATTGTCACGTATCTACAGAAGAAGACATTTTGCTAACATTTGAATTAGAAAACATATAATACAAGATCTCCAACCATACATGTGTACTCGGAATGACTGCCCAGATCCAAACATCATGTATGGGACTCGCTCTGCGTGGTTGAGCCATGAAGCCCAGATCCACCGGAAGGTTTTTCGTTGCTTTGAGCACCCGGAGAATTTCTCGTCACGAGAGTCTCTCGAACATCACTTCACGTCGCTGCATCAAGAACTCGGGAGGGGCCAAATTGAAGCAATGCTAGATTTGGGGCAGGCCAGTCATCAAGAAGAAAGAGTCTCCTGTCCTTTTTGCCTGTCGACTGGGCCCTTCTTCAGAGGCTTCTTTGAACATATGGCTTACCACCAAGAGAGGCTCGCATGCTTTGCAGCTACCGGACAGTCGCTTAATCGGGACGATGGTCTTTACAGCGATACAGACTCGGATAAAGCCCAGAGAGACGATGACCCAGATGCTTTACAATTGCTTGACTCTGATATTTCTTCATGGGGCTCCGGTTCAGGCAAAGGCTCGAAATCATTTCCAATCAAGAAAAATGAGGTTATTGTATCTCTCGGGAAAGAAATACGTCAAGCAATGGTACAGTCAGTCGGACCGGATGATGATTCTGATCCAGAGCCATCCACAAGCTTATTCTCGTCAAAGTACCTCCCGATCGACCAATTGAATAGCATTATAAACTATGACTCAATCCTGAATGAGCTGAGAGAATTTGACTTATTCAAAGAACCAGACTTGTCTAGGATAGTCATGGAAGTCCAAGGTGATATCGACTTCAAGAGGAATGCCAAACTTGATCCTGGTCCAACTGGCTCGACAACCATTTGCGCGGCGTCCCCAACGCGGAAGAAGATTTTTGCTATTCTTGTTCTAATGGGAAAAGCACCCACTATCTCCGACATTTGCGATGAAGGTCTGTCGGATGATGACCTGCCGTTTCACTTGGACCCAAACGGTTTAAAGCTGGTCCGGAGAGCTGGGACATCTTCACAGCCCATTCAAGCATTCATCAACTGGAAGGAACACGAGTCCGACATGTTTGATTCCTACCAGTGGTACATGTTAGCGCCGTACTTTGTCCTCGCTCACGATGATGATCCGAGGGTTACTCATTATACAGTGAGCTATATGGTTCCGCTCCCGTTCAGTGTTACCGAAAGCGTCCAAAATAGCGCCATAAGTCCCGTGTGTGGATACCTAGGCATGCAGAAGATCACAATTCATCACGCTCATCATAGCCAGGGAGTTCCCAAGGTAAGTAACCCTGAAAATTTTAACTAAAATTTGGCTTATTAACATTAGTTTGCAGCAATCGAATCAGAATGTCTTTGCAGTGAAAACTTTCCGAGATATTAAAGCTAAAGAATTCGATTTGAGGTTTAAATCTTTGCTCCGCCTGTCTCAGCATCGTCATCCTCACTTTTTGCAACTCCTTTTGGGCTTGACACATGGCAGCACGAAATCTTTTATTTTCAGGTGGGCCGACTGTGACTTGGAGCAGTTCTGGGCCAACAATCCCCCTGGCAATGATGCAGTTGACATGGCTAGATGGATTTCGTCACAGCTTTTTGGTTTAGCTGATGCCTTGCAACTAATCCGAGACTTATTCCCTTCAGGGGTACTGGCAGAGAATGACCATAGACTACAGCCACCACACAGAGATCTTAGTCCAGGGCGTATTCTATGTTTTGAAACGAAAGGGATTACTCAGGGTGTACTCAAGATTGCAGACTTTGGGTCGATGCAGTACCACGACGACCAAGCCTATGATCAACGAGGCTCTGAGATATGCACTGACTCGGCCTACCGCGCTCCAGAGCTTCTGACTGGTGGACTGGCTCCCAATTCGGATCTTTGGTCTTTCGGATGCATCATCCTACACTTCATAGTCTGGTATCATGGCGGCTGGGCACTGGTGAATTCATTGTCAGCGTCGAGCTCCGCAGAGGAAGAACAAGCTTCTGATGATAACAAATTTTTCAAGTCTGGAAACTTGAATATCACCCGTCCAAGTCTAGATCCCCGAGGCTTGACAGAAGGGGACACTGGCGGTGCAGTGATAGGTCAGGACAAGGATGTTCCTAATATTGTAGTGTTGAAAGAATCTATAAAACAGGTATGTTTGAATGCTCTTGAGCTATTGATATCCTTCGCTTACAAGGACCAGGAAATATCAAAATTTCTTGATCAAGGTAATAGCCAGTTTACTCGCGATGTCATTGGCCTAGTTAAGAGGAACCTTCTTCAAACAGATGCCGGGAGCCGGGCAAGTTGTAAGGCTGTTCGAGATTACTTGAAAGAACTGTATAAAAAGTGCATTGAAAGTGATGCGTACTGTATAGGGACACTTCCAGTTGAAGGAACAAAAGACATCGCTGGTGGAGATTAGATCTGGAAAGTTCAACTGTAACAGATTGCTTCCATCTACGAGGGTCACAACCTGGGTATACGCTACCGGGGATAGCTGAGACTCTTCTAATTGACATCCATCTATAAATAACACAAGAACGAAGATTAGAGGGCAGTGGCTGAGAACTTGTACCGTCACAGTGAACTTGAAGACATCATAATCACCCATCTCCAGTTGGGGCCAGTTGTGAATGCACGGATTCAGATGATCAACTGGACAGAACTACTACCTGTCAATACCGTCCAAGTACTCTTCCTTTGCCTAAGTTCGTGACCCAAAGGCATCGGTCTCAGATTAGACATGCAAAGTAGTTGATCACTATTCGCCATTCGCGGTCATTTCATGTATTTATGCAAGACCAGTGTATCATTACCGAAGAGTTTCCTTAAGAAAAATATTATAAAATACTAAGACCTTATTTTAAGTTAATATAAAAGCTAATTAATAGCCCTATCTAGGACTTATTATTATATTCTTACTATCCTTATCTTGTAAAAGTATATAAGTAATATTAATATATTTCTCAGAAAAAAGCTTTATAATAAACTTTTTTTACTAGATTATACTAATAGTTATGTTATTACTAAGAAATATTTAAAATTACTTAACTAGAAAGACCAGGATATAGAATGCTTTAGTAGTATAGTATTAAAAGTATAGATTGGTAATTTTAGGAGGTAGTGGTTGTACTGTGGAAAGAAAGACAACGAATAGTACATACTTTTCACGCCCAACCAGACGTCTTACGTTGAAGGCAATGAAGACGACTATGATAATCCAAAACGTTAATGGAAATATCCATATAATACCAGTTGATGTAAAGGTTAATGAAATCTAGACTATTGTTTGGAGACTGGGATAACTGGCATGAGATCTTTACTTTAATGTCATGCAGTGCCCCATACGCTATATGTGCGGGCCGAATATAGAACAGAAATGAAATACGTTTACGCTAAACCTACGACTTCTGTCTGCGACTGATAGTACATGGGATGTCTTTGTGATACATAAACCAGGAGTTATCATACCTCCATCTATGGTTCGGATCGGTAATACGAACCTACATCTTGGGTCAATACTTGATGTCAAGAGTTTAGGGAGACGACCCGACTTACATCAAAGTTCACATAAAGCGTAGCAAACATTTTATACATCTCCAACTTGGACATGTGTTTACCCATGCAAACTCGCGAGCCGTGTCCAAACATCATTTCAGTGCACTCGTGCATTCGTCGTACGCGTTGAGCATGCCCCTGCTGAGACTCGCCCTTGCTGCGAAGCCATCGCTCTGGCCGGAAGGTATCGACATCTTCCCCAAAGACACCAACATCGCGAGTGATTACACAAGGATTGATCCCGACTTTTGTTCCCGCGGGGATGAAGCGACCGTCCGATAGTTCGAGGCCTTCCTTTGGGACTTCGCGCTCAAGGATGAGACCGACAGCGGGTGAGATTCGCATAGACTCACGCATAACTGCATCGAAATATGGTAGTTGACTGATTTCCTTCCATTGAGGAACAGGCAGAGTCAAGTTGGCAGAACGGAGCTCGGCGACCATCTTTTCGCACACAGAAGGGTTCTTGAGTAGGTGGTAAGCGGGCGCACGCATCGCACCAGCTGTTGAGTCGCCGCCGGCCAAGACATTTAGCATAAGCCAGTTCAGAATTTGCTGGTCATCGACATAATCAACAGTCTCTTTCAAGCTGTTATACTTGTCGATGAAGAGATCCACGGGCTTACGTTTGGCAGCACCCGAAGCCACCTGTTGTTGATACTCTGTGAGAATCTTGATGGTGTACAATACACCATTGACGAGAGGGCGAGGTCCAATGCGCCAGATGGGATTCTTGTCCAGCCACTCGTCAAGCCACGGGATCTGACTGACAGGTGTGAAATACTTGAGTCCAGCTGTGCTTTCAGCAATGATGTTCTCGACATCAGCAGCTTGATCCATGAAGCCGTAGTTGCGACCAAAGCTGATATTTGCAGCAGCATCCCAAGCATAATAGGCAACCCATTCATCCATCTTGCAGACATAGCCAGTGCTAGCAAAGCGATTGTCCAAGTGAGTGATCAGCTCACAGAGAGTCTCGTCCATGATGGGCTCAGCCTCCAGCATCTTGGGGAGTGTCCAGAAGCCCCGGATGGGTTTGGTGTACTTGGTGTGAAAGTCTTCATCTGCAGTGTTGAAGATGTTTTGCATCCGCTGGCCATTAACGACGACATCATTGGGGCGGTACATATTAGTCTAGGACAGTCAGAACCCATTGAGCCATCCCTCCACAAAGATATGTCACGGGGTGCTTACCTTTCGCCAAGGGTTTCTCGTCGTGTAAATGACACGAATCAGATCTGGGTCGCTGATACTGATCGTATTTGGACCAACCCGCACAGCAGAACCCCATTTCTGATGCCATGCTCGCATATGTCCATCGACATTTCCCTTGGTGGCAAGATACGCCCGATAAAAGTCAGTGTACTTTGCAGCAAGAGGGCCAGGAATGCGTCTGAGAGGCGAGAATAAGAGGTTGTAAAAGATGCGAGCGACGACAAAAGCAACGCCGACGTACAGCACGTAGCTCAGGTCATATGAAGAAAGGGCCATGATCTACAGAGACAACGAGTGCATCTGCGGAGAAAACAAAGAGGATGTATCATAAATTTAATTAAAGAGCAGCTGCGGGATGCAGACGCGGGACCGAGCCGGATCTATATTGCTTTTTACGGAGGGCATGGCCTGATTACTGGACATGTGTAATGCACTCCATCTCCACACTGTCTAGACTGTCTTTATCACAGGCAAAGAGAAAAGTGACGCCGTTGTAGAGAAGGCGTCTGGATTATGCACCATGTAACAGTACTCCACCGCCAACTTGCAGGGTATTTATGCTAGTGTTTATGATATGTCTGAACTCCACGCGTGAGAAACCACAAACAGAAGAGGAGCAGCCATTGAGGAGACAGGAACAGGAAGCGTTCCCTCGCAAACATGTGTGAAATTGTTGGCTCCCCCACATAAGCATGAGGCTCCTTGAAACTTGGCATACATTAGCAAGAACAAGAATCCCACGCACACGGTCTCGATTGGCAACCACCTCGGTTGATATTGTCTAAATCGGTTTAGGTTCTGCACGATGAGAACGAGAGAAGAGATAATATCTCACCGGGGAGGCGGAACCATCCTTGTACGTGCCAGGGGTATCCTTGGAAAAAAGGCTGAGAAAACAAAGAGCTTACAGGACTCGAGGCAGTTAGAAGCACAAGCTGAATACGACGGAATATGAGAAGTGACTGTCACGTAGTCAGTGGCTTACTTTCGGTTCGGAGACAATGAGACAACGTTGGAGCTAGTAACACGGGACAAGGACGCCATTGACACGGGAACTAAGCCTCGACTAACTTTAGACAAGACATCAATTAACATTCATCTCCACGCAACGGTCTCTTCAACACTAAAATGATCAAGACTCTGATTTAAATCAAATCCACTCTGCACAAATTTCTTGCAGAACCTCTCGCGGCCGGCAAAACAAACCCACTCTCTGTGGCGAGCCAATATGCAGGAGTATGGCACGGCATCTGATCTATCAGATTCGCGAGGCCCAACACTCGACCAGGATTGGCAGCAATACGGAGATAACAACAAGCGACTCCATGCTCTAATTTTGCGTGCGACCCTGTTGTATCAACTGATATTTGACATATTATGCAAAGCGAACAAACATCGTCTATTGTTGTCCCCCCCGTGATTGGATCTGCAGATCGTCTCCGTTGCGGCTTGCTTAACGTATCATCGCGATGGCATTGATCGTCCCCATTGTTTTCTCTCCTCTCACAGTCGGGATGTTCTCATCCCCTTCATTGGATTCGCTACTCGGGCGGTTTTGCAGCCCCGTTTTCAACGTTGCTTTTTTCAACCGTTGTTTCGAGTCCAACGGCCTGGGTCTCTCCCGAGGCCAATCTTTTCCCCACGATGAATATTCTTCTTTCTTTTTTTCTTTGTGATACTCGAAATCCTTCATCTGGTCTCGTTGAGATGTGACATATGCTTGAGAGAACAAAACTATGTTACCAAAGAATTTGTTTGCCTGCCGGTTTGGTTATTTTCGTATTGTGTATCAAGGTTTGTCCTTGGAACATATAAGACGGATGAATGTGCCTGTTGAAGCAGTCTGAGACAAACTTGTTGGTTATCGATGCGAATATGGCCGCTGCTGCTGCGCCTTCTCCTGAGTATCTCGCCGAGACGCGAGGGCCGATGATTCGGACTGTTACGTGGCTTTCTGTGATCTTTCCCATTATTTTTGTTGGACTTAGAGTGTACACGAGATTGTTTGTTCGAAAGGTCTTTGGTCTTGATGACTGGGTCATTGTTCTCTCTCTGGTAAGAAGCAAATTTTCCTCGACACCTCATAGACTAATAAGTATGGGTTACAACAGGTTCTTCTCGTCTGCTATGGCGCTATCATCGAAGCCGCCGTTCAGAAGGGTCTTGGTCGACACGTCGAATGGGTTCTTACCTTTGCCCCTCAAGATGCCGTCCCGGTCGCATTACTAGGCCAAGTCTCACAGCCCTTTGTCGTCATGTCATGCGCGCTGGGCAAGACATCCTTCTCGATCAGTCTCATGCGACTAGCTGCACAGCGATTCATCCATCGATTCCTCTGGTTCATCGTCGTCACTATGCTTACGCTTCACATCCTCATCTCTATCATTGTTTTTGTACACTGCGAAGATCCTCGAACAACATGGAACCCGGCTATTGTGAGCAAGTGTTGGCATCCTAATGTCTACCTTGGAGTGCTATACTTCATCGGCAGTAAGTCTGTTCCACGCGGTTGGCCTTGGGTAGTACTAACATTCCAAGCTTACTCTGCTGCTACCGACTTCATCCTCGCGCTTCTTCCTTGGGCTATGCTCTGGAACTTGAACATGAAGAACAAGGAAAAGTTTGGTGTAGCTGTCGCCATGAGTCTTGGTGTCTTGTACGTTCTCACCCCCTACTATCATCGTCTCTTACTAAGTCCTCCAGCGCCGGGGCCATTGCTGTCATCAAGTGCACCAAGCTCAAAGCCAACGCAACAAGCACCGATCCTACCTTCGACGTCGGTGAACTTCTTCTCACAGCTTGCGCTGAGAATGCCCTCATTATCATGGCTGCCTGTATACCTACCCTCCGCCCCATGCTTCGCAAGGTCTTTCCTTCATCAGCTAAGTCAAGCGAGAACTCGCATCGCTTGAAGAACATGAACAACATCATGTTCGTTCCCAAGAACAAGGCTGGCCAATGGAGCGCCTTGATTGAGACCGAGGCTCACCCGGATAATAACTCTGACAACCAGAGCGATAAGAGTATTCTCAATCAACATCGTGGTACTATGAATGGTCAGGGCAATGCTGGACCTGCTGGTGGACCTTCTAGCCCAGCGCTATCACCCCATATCAGGAAGACCATGTCGGTAAATGTGTCTTATGATAGGAGTAACAGTATGTAATCAAGATAAAACTCATTATATTAGTACAGTGGTCATCAAAAAAGAGCCTTCGGGAACCTTTCAAGTTAATCACAGTTTAATTCGCGGCTTAGTGATGAGATGGCCAAGATGGATGCAGCCAATAGTCATGCGCCACTGATCTATAGATTTAGCTTGTCCTCGAAGTTTTCTATCCCTCCACCTTTTAAGTGCTCTCGGGATCTCTGTAAGCTGGTGCTGCCTCTTCTACAGGTGGCCTGATCCACGACTCATCGTGTTGTACCTCAGTCTCAGTGTCTGCCGTCCTACTACTTTCACCGTCCGTCTCCTCAGGCCGTAGTCGTTCATAACTGGGTCTTAATATCAACAGATCCGATTCCCCCACGCACATCGAACCGGACTCCCGCAATTTCACCCTGCACCCACCATTTAATCCCATGCGTAACCTCAATATTGTATGTACAAAACGAATGCGTAAACCCAGAGTGTGCAAAGTTCCATTTTTGCGGAAATCCTGTATCTTGGAGACGTATCCGCAAGCCAGACAATCCTCCGACATCTATAGGCTCCCATTGACGTGTGAAGGGTACTCGAAGATTCATCTTGAGTTTGTTAAGAGCTTGGATAACTCCGAGGTCTATTTCTGTTCTTCGCGTTCCATATATTCTGTTGAATGATGTTTCTGTGACTATCCAAATGTGTATAGTTGTAAGTTTAACTTCTTGTGAGATATTTTGGATGATTGGACTTGTTTTTTGCCAGTCCGGTGCCACGAGAAGCTTGACCGGTATAGACGTCGGGTTATCAAGTTGAATAATCCTTGGGACGTCAATAAAAACGTCAAAGACTAGGTCAGGGTCTGATGAAAAGCTGAAGTTCTTCCTTATCCTTTGTAGCGAAGACAATTTTACGGACTCTGGTCCTGGAAGAAGGCTTTGACTCGAAATCTTTCGTGGATACCGGATTCGTCTGGATTTGAAGTCGGCAATAGGAGGATCCGTAAGTTGAGTCACCATCACCTGACATAGATGTTCCTGTTTCGGTCAATTGCGCGAGGCGCGAGGCAGAAACGAAGTTACAATTCGTTTTAAAATTCTTCAGATATTGTAATTGTTTGTGATTTGAATATACAACTGAATTACCTACGGCAAGAGGTTTACTGCGTATCTTGGCATTGTGGTCGAACTTGAATTGCTGTCATCAGTTACCCGATACCTCTCAGTGTGAGGCCTCGTTCAGCTGCTTTCTTTTCTCTTCCTGATTCTCAAGAATGCTTTCTATCTTATCATTCAGATGCATTCCATCCATATATCTTGCCTCCAAAATTACTTCCTTCGTTTCCGGATCTCTGAGATAGCCAATGCTATTAATCGCGCGCTGGTGCATTTCTTCAACAGCATCAAGTATTCCTGTCATACTTTTCCTCCTACTCTGATCTACTACCAGCATATATTCGTGTATCATATCTAACAAATCGTGAACATAGGAACTACAGCTCGGTTTATTGTGCAAAGAACGGATCCACTGCCAGTAATATCAGAAAGAGGCAGTGTCAAATTTAGCAGTTGGGAGACTTACCTGAACGATTTGTTCTTTCACGCTAAGTCTGTAGCCCTCTCCAGTCCCAAGCCAGTGAATATCGAAGTATATGTCGGTCTTGACCCCGGTGATGTAAGGCGACATCAAGATCTCTTTGAATTGTTCTCTAAGTTCGTTCGCCCCAAGGATCCAACAAGCCATTTCAAGTAACATACAGCCAAGACTCCAGACGTCATATGCTCGGGATATCCGCCCATCACGAATATCGCACTCGGGTGCTCGATACCTTGGTGTGACGGGAAAATCAGCTGCAGGAATAATAGATCTGGTTTCTTCCCTGTGGGCATCTGCAATACCGAAATCTGATATGACAAAAACACCACGCTGCTCTTTCCGTGATCTGAACCAAAGGATGTTGGCAGGCTTTATGTCTCCGTGTCTTCCGAACATTGTCTCCGTATTCATATGTGCCTTTTTGCCCTCATGGATATGCGCAAGAGCCCCGACGATGTTTCGAATTTGTCCCGACAGCCATAAGAGGCCTTCGCTGTTGACATAAGCCGGGTTCACGAGTGGACCAGGGTGGATTTTCCAATACAAAAGGAGATCGTATTCGGCAGCTGGAAATATGAAGTGAAACCGGCTGTTGAGCGTGTATGTGGCCAAAAGCGTAATGATATTGGGGTGACTAAGACCGCTGAACTGTTTAAGCATTTCCAACTCTTTGTTCGGCTTGCCTTTCTCCTTATTTGTACCTTTCAAAGACTTGACGGCAACGAAGGTACCATAACATCCAAGCTATGCGATATGAAAATCAGAACCTCGTAAAGTAGCAAGACTCGTTATCGACTCACCGTTTCAAGTAACGGGGCAAAACCATGTGAGTTGGCGTCAATCTTGTACTTGACTACCTGTCCGCATCCGCCCGACAATGTTTCTTCGTGCACTCCGTAGCTGTCTCGACAAAGCACCCAGGGGAGCATCTGTCCTTTGGGCATATCATAGTGCCGAGCTTCGTAATCCTCCTCCAGTGCAAAGAACCTCGGCGACATTCGTAGTTGGTTGATGTTGAAATAGTCTCTCTGCATTTGAGACCATCTTAGCTTTGCCATGCAGATCTGCGCAGTAAGATGATGCTCAGATCCTTGTACCAGAGGAAATCGTTCGTCATGCAAGTCTGCGTCTATGAAAGCCTGGATATCGACGGATCGCTCTGCAATAGCCAGTATTGCAAAGACTCGAAGAAATGAGGTCTTGTCGGTGCCCAGAATTTTATCGCTGCATGCCTCGGCATCCTCCAGTCCTATCTTGACGGTATCAAGTTGTCGGATGATTGTCTCCCGCGTTATCAGCCTCTTTAGAATCGGGTACGGCCAGAAGAAATAATTCTCTCCGTTAATGTGCGGCACTCTCTCTCTCCAAAGCGCGTCACTCAATACTAGTTGGGAGTCTGGCGCGCCTTGTGTACAAGTCGATATAGAGCCCATCATTACTCCACTATGAGAGATGGCGTTGGCGCTGATCCGATTGACGCTTGTTAGGATGTGGGGAAATACGCCGCATGCCAAGAATCTCCACGGTCGATAAGGAGTGTTGATGCCCGGGGGTGATCGTCGAAAGATTTAGTCGGACACTGAGAGACTGATTGTACTAAAAAGATAAATGTAAGGCTGTCAAGGCTCAGTATTTCTCAGTCCTGGCTCATGTATAAACGATATTCTGATAAGCTTGTTATGGTGCCTGTTCACCTCTATCATGACCGGTGAGTCTGAGTCGGTGACAGGGATGGCTCCGGGGAGACATAAAGGTTGCAACTCGGGATAGTGGGAGAACCCGGGATGACAGTCCAACGTTTTCTGTCCCCCCCCCCAAGCACAGGTCACTTGGCCTCGCTTCCAAGCGAGTTTGAGTGCTAGCCTGACTAACTCTATCTGTCTGACGTCAGGCAAACTTAAGATTACGGCGGGTATTGGTTCGGAGTTTACTTCTTCCTACTTGTGTAACCACATTCTCTTCCCTATATCCATGAAGATATATGCCTCAATATTGATCATCAAGTTAGGTCATTTGATTGATTGGCTGGGCCTTCCGACGGCTAAACCATTAACCAGCCCAGCACAAACCGCCCCATCCGGAACTGATCAATCTAGTCCAATCAAACGTACCCATGGGTGTTGATGAAAGAAGAAGCCGATAAATCGAACAAGTGACATCAGTCTGGTTAAGATATACACAGCCTCGCTACTTCGCCAGACTGTAAGCTTACATCAGCTCACAGAGATAAGTCCTACTTTCTCATCGTAATAAAGGGAAGACTTATAATAATGTTCACAATATGCTGAATCTTGTCAGTAGGCCGCCTTGATGGAAGTTTAGATGTAGACATGTAGCCGCTGCCGAACACATAAGACTGGTAAATACGGTGTCCTACAATGCTATGGTTTAGATGCATCCTGTTCCAGCAGTATCAATCAATGACTTTCTATCTAAACAGCGGTGGTAACCCTCCAACGGATGCCATAGTTGGCAATGTCGGTCTCTGGGACATAGTTGTTGGTGGCGTCAAGGGTAAAGGTGCAGCTGTTGGAGTCTGCAGTAGTGAAGTCGACCTCGAGGACATTACCGAGCCAGTTCATATTGACGACAGAACCCGGCTCGTAGTTTCCGAAGGCGATGTAGTACTTGTCACACGGGACGATCTCGCTGACAACATTGGGCTTGGCTCGGTAAGTCTGAATGGGGATAATCTCGCCACTCCTGGGATCTTTGGCACCGACACCGAAGTAGGTATTACCTAAATTCACTGTTAGTCCTCTGAGTTAAGACATGGGGCGATCGAGGCTACATACTCTCGTTGGGGTTGAAAGACCCGTCGGTACGGATAGTGAACGCACTGGGAGCAAAGGTGCTACGATTGCGACTGGCTACGTCATCAAAGCAAGGGGACACACCATCCGGTGTTCCTCTGGGGCCTGGCAAGGTCGAAAGGACAAAGTAGGAACCGTCGGGGCCAAGAACGACGTCCCTGGATCCTGAAGTAGCCACTTTGGTCTGTCCATCCCAAGACTGCACGGACGGCCCGTAGACCGCCCAGTACTGGTTGGCCATTTGAAAAGATGCTTTGGAGCTGCCATTTCCCTGAACCCGAACGGACCGCTGGTAGACGTTGGTGAAGACCCCTTCCCGGGGGATGTTAGGAGGGTTAGGGATCACTTGAAAGAGCAAGAAATCCTTGCTCTCCTGAGAGGCGTTCTTGATATTAATGGTGTACTTTCGAGACATGGTCAAGATGGTTGAATTAAGGCAACTGAGACGTGAATACTTAATAAAGTGGAAGGTGAAATATGTGTTTGTTGGTTTGGGAATTGAGCTGGTTGTGAAGGGATAGACTGAAAGCTCGAGATGGCTTTTGCTACCTTATTAACATTATTAGTACTCCACTACCGCCCCGATATTTCCGATCATTCCATGATGCCGAGGCTAGCGAGGGTAGACATTCGTGTGACACACAAGCCAAAAAGAACTATATGACACTATCGTATTGGCCAGCCAGCCACGCTCATCGAGGACAATCCTCAAGAACTACAAGCTGATTTACAATATTCCATATTGGGTTAAAAAGCGGAGTAGGTGGCCTTAGATCTTTTCTCATCACGCGCTATTTGCGACTATTTATGCATGTCTCACTTTATAGTTCATACTCACCAGCGGTGAGTCATGAATGTGAATTATCAGCTCGCCTCAAAACACATTATCAAGTCATACATGAACCACTCATGGAGTAGTGTCATTAATACAGATTTATTAACTGAGTGCCGAAACCCGATCATACGACCTAATCAGTATAGTATGACACAGCTGCACTCTCAATTGCCTTGCTTTACACTGCTCCATCGAAAGAATCTCAGTCTGGTCACTTGATACGAACCTTTCTTTTATCAATTGAGAAAGCAATGGCTTTGTTGATTAACTGCAGAAATGTGAGAGAACATATAGACAATGTGAATCAATGGCAGTTTCACTATCTCGGAATATCGGCACGTTTTTCTAGATGTGCTTAAATCAGCAGATAAAACTTAGTAGCCAAGATATCTAGACCCTTGCTTCTAGGGCATTGCGTGAAGATATCCAATTTCAGTGAAGTATATACTTCTTCAACTGCCTCTTTCCCGCCTGCCATTGATCAACAGCTTTGCCAAACATGTACCCGTCAATATATATATCGCCCACGTATCTATACTCGCCCTGCGTCCCCTCAGCCCTCAACAATATCGGCGTCGAACAACCCAACGGCACAACTATTATATCACCCGCAAGCATGAACCCCGAACCCATCGCAAGCCGACGATTCTGTGTAAGACAGAAACATCTCCCCATCATACGATCCCCGAAATGAATTTGCAGAAAGTGCCGCCTCATTTCAGCTTTGACCTCAGATGGAGTTTTCAAGTAGTAAGCTAGTCTGTCATCGAGTATGATGTATGGTAGCCGGTCGCGGAAGAGGTTCGCAAAGACATGGTAGATTTCTGCCTGCCATCGGCCTCGGTCATATTCCGATGGGATTTGACCAAGACATATCGTCGCGGCCAAGCATTCTTCCGCCATTTTTATTTCTTGCTCAATACGACCTTCAACAGCCTGGAGAAGTAGTGCTCTCCAGTGTAGGAATGCCATGAGATAATCTCCTAGGTTGCAAAGCGTTCCGACGACGACACCTTTGCTTTGCACAACATCAATTTCGAGTGCTGAAATTTCAAGCTTGTTGAGACGTTCGTCACGGAACCTGCAAATGGCTTTGCTGGAGCCTGAAGCTGCGAAGTTGTATTTGAAGCCCATTGCTGACGTTTGCGGTATGTGTGACCAGTCCGGAACGAATGTTGGAAGGTTTGCGGTGCTGGTGTGAACAGGGAAGTGGATCGCTTCGCAGATAATGTCGAGCTTCTCGGTCGTCTTGAGAAGAAAGTCGACAATCTCAGTGTACACATCCTTCACGGAGAGATTACAGTCCGCGCGGAACTCTTCTCGAATACCGGCTGGTAAGACGCCAAGTATTCCATAGAGTTTATCTCTAGGATCAGATGCGAGCTTTCTGCGACAAGTTCGTAGCACCTGTAGAAGAGCCTCTTCTCCATCCGACATGTGGAACTTGAGGTCTGGTAAACTGGCTGGCCCTTGATAAATGAGGGTCTGAACGTAGCTGAACTAATCAGGTGAAGTTGCTAGTCGCCTCTTGAGTTGGTCTTTGTTATTGAAGATGAGTTCCCCACGGCGCTGGCTGAATAGGACCGAGGCGCTCTGATATTTCTTCCACTCAAGACGAGTCGAGCCACAGTAAACCATAATTCTTTTCGCGTTGGAGACTTCCTGGACAACCCAAAGTCGTCGCCAATACTCCCTCCCAAAAAGCGACACAACCGCCAAAAGATCACCGTTTTCGGCCCCAGCTGCTAAGATTTGGGAAATATTGCTGGAACCGAAAGGTTCACCTGTAGTCGCGATGGCGTCGAGAAACGTAACGGCTCGTATGCTGTCGTTCTCTTCCGGACCGAGCCAGATTGCGACGCTATCCGCATTGGAGTAGATGAATGGCATGAGTTGAACCTGCTGACTCCGCTCATCGCGATCCTTTTGATTGATGCATAGAGCATCTGCCCATACTAGCACGGATGACTGTTTTTTTCGCAGTACTTGCAGTGCGCCGTGAAGGCTGACAGCTATCGGGATCAAGCATCCTTCAATCTCAATCTTTCGGGTATCACCCGTATCTCCCCAAGTGTACGAGATAGCCACGTACTATAGGATAACTGCGGCCTATAAGGTTAAGCTTTAGGCTGTAAATATAGATAATAAATAATAATATAATATTTTTTTTTCCCTAATATAAGCTTTTACCTATATACTTTTATAATAACTAATAAATCTTATTATAAGCCTTAAGGTATTATAAAGGAAAAAGACTAAAAGGTATATAAAGAAATATAACTTTAAGTTTATATTTTTATATATATATTATAATATAATTCTATAAATAATATATTTACTATACTAGTAATCTAAACTA